CTAGATACTTCAGTGGATACTGAAACAGTGGAAATACTGATCATGATTCCTAAATATTGTTTTTAACAGCATTGTACAATTTGTTTTTATACCAAAAATAACAAGTCCTATAAAAAACTGGAAAGAGCATATATTAATCTTTTGTAAAGAGAATTAGGTTAAAATTTATCTCAAAGAAGTAATGCCTAGCATTTTCATATCTTTATAAATTTCATTTTGGTCATATCACTGATGTTTTTCAATTTCAGACAAGTCCATATAGTACATAACCTTATTTGCTCTACAAAGAAGGTATAACACACAGTACCTCAAATATAAAATGTTTGATGCAGACTTTAAGCCTAAGACAACTAATATTATGGGAACATTGTAATATTAGTTGTCCACAGAAACCCATATTTCATATGGGTGCCAAAATAAAAAAAATTGTTAAAGTATTTAATTTTATAAACATTGTTGTATTTTTATACACTTAAAATACATTCAACAAGAAAATGAATTTTTGTAGGAACTAGAATGCCATACTAATATATACCCTTTCCATATATATATTAATTTTTATATCTGGTATACTGTATGGTTAAACCTATATCTGGTATACTGTATGGTTAAACCTCCGACTTTAAGAATCAGAGGCAAAATAATGAATTTCACTTTACGTATAACTTTGTGCTTATACCGTACTCTACATCATGCTCTGATTATTTTACTTGTTAACTCTCTCCATTTTAGCGTTCTTTTCATGCTTCAAAATTTCTATGCTCCTATATTTCCTGCAAAGTTTACAATGTCATGCACACAGATGTTTAATTGCCTTCAATCTCATCCACAGAAACTCAAGATAAATAATATTAATGATTTAAACTTTAGATACATGGCCCTAAATCATGCTCTTTAGCTTCATATTCTTAATTTTGTGCCTGTACTTGGCCCAATATTTATCCAACTCAACCTGTACAATTTCCTTAAAAATTTCCTAGCATTTACTATCTGCTTTTAATTATTTTTAAAGTTAAATTTTCTCAGGATTTTTAAGTCTAAGTTCATGTTCTTAAGTGAACACAATATATAATATTGTTACTCACTAATGATACCCCATCCCTGTGAAATTGGGATTAAATGGGAAAATGATAATGAGTGAATCAATGCTATTCATTGGCTTTGTGTGACTTATAATTATGATGGCTGAGTAAATTGGAAATTACCCAAAATCAACACATATGCATTGAAATTAAATGGATTTTTAAAAGAAAAAAGTGATATCCTTATGAAGCTTATATACAAGCACAAAAATTTCCCCGTTTCATTATCTACAAAAGAATTAAGCTGCTTGCCAGATGAGACATGACTGGCATTTTCATTACCATGCATCAGAAACATTCCATGTTTTCTGATGCATGGAATTTCATGCATCACTTCCACACCCTTAGTGTTAAGTATGTACAAGCCCAAGTAGGAGGCAAGAGGCACAGACAACTTGCTCGAGGGGCGAGACCAGACTGATTATTTTCTGCAAGTAGTTGGGTCATCTCCTCAGACTCACACTGTGTTCTGGGGGATGCAGAGGGCACTATTACACCATCAAGTGTTGAAATCAGCAACAACACTTAACACCTTCAAAAGAGTTTTACACTTAACCTGTCACATTAAGCATTCCCATTTTGCTTATGTTAAGAAACAAAATATGACAAACAGAATTATAATTTCTTTGTGGACAGGTATAAAATGTTTAAGAAATATAAATAAGAAAACCCCACATAAACTTGACAAAAAAACTGTGTTGAATGTAATGAAACGTCATTTTCTAGGTGAGTCCCGGAGGCTCCCCAGAGCTATCCAGGCTGAATGGATATGTATATCTTTCTGGCATCAGTCAATGCATGGAGTTCTTGCCTACCGGGGACCTCGAGCCAGAACCTGGCCCCCTTTAGAGGGGCAGGAGGAGCAATGGCCTATAGAGACCCCCCTGTGGTTGGGAGCATTCTATGTCTGCCATTGACCGGGGACAGGCACCCAGTAAGGTAGGTGCCCCAAAACAAACCCCTATTCTGGTAAAATTAGTGCGACCGAACGAACAATGGACAGAACTCACAACGAAAATTATCAAACTAGCACGACGTCATCATGTCCCTGCGCCGCTGTCTGCACAACACCCCCCTCTCCAAGAGGGGGAAGGGGGAGCCCCAGACCCATCTGCCGGCAACCCAACCCACAGTTCTTAGGCTGGATGTCAAAAAGCGCTAAAAACACCGTCGACCGAAGGGAGGGAGGGATGCCGGGGAGTCTCTGAGACTCACCCAGAAAATGGCATTTCATTACATTCAACGCTGGTTTTCTGAGGGGAAGCCCCATCAACTCCCAGAGCTAACTACACAAAGATAAGGAAAAACAGGGGTTTACCCGGGAGGTGGTTCATCCTCACGCCTCAACACGAAGTCGAGACAACTGGCTGCAGCCGCCAACCCAATGCAACGCAGGCCCTACCTGGCCCATGAACATTCACCAGGTAGTGAGCAGCCAGGATACTGTTCGACCTTCAAAAACCCTGCGCCCGAATGTCAACCCAAGACATGTTGCCAAAGATGGCAGCCAAAGCAGCAAACTTACGCACGTTGTGGACCCGATAAACCACAAGCTGGCTTAATAACCCTGCGGACAACCTGAGAGACCCGAGCCCGAGAACAGGGGAGAAGGGAAACCGGGTCCACCCAAAACGCCTCCCCGGCCACTGAAGCCGTGGTGCGCAAATACCGGAGGAGAGCCGTAACCGGACACAACACATGATGCACCCTTGGCCTGACCAATCCCCAAGGGCAGTACTTACTGGGCACCTAGGGAAGGTGACCCTTGGCGCATGCAGCCAGAGTACTGTGGAATATGTCTCCAGGCTCATGCACCCCCGGAAAAGACAGCCCACACAACAAGGCACAGAACTGAAACAAAACTGGAGCCAGAGACACGATCGCACCAGATTCCCATCAACCAAGAACTGAGGGCTGGGTCGCCGGCAGATGAGTCTGGGGCTCCCCCTCCCGGAGAGGGGGTGGGGGGATTGCACAGACAGGGCATGGCGACATGATGATGTCATGGTAGTTTGTTAATTTTTGGTTGCGGAGTTCTGTCCACCTGTTCGGCCTTGGGTCGCAATAATTTTACCAGAATAGGGGTTTGTTTTGGGGCGCCTGTCTTTTAGGGTGCCTGTCCCGGTCGATGGCAGATATAGAATGCTCCCAACCAAAGGGGGGGATCTCTATAGGCCATTGCTCCTCGTGCCTCTCTAGAGGGGGCCAGGTTCTGGTTCGTGGTCCCCAGTAGGCAAGAATTCCATGTACATTGACTGATGCCAGAAAGATATATATATCCATTCAGCCTGGATAGCTCTGGGGAGCCAACGGGGCTCCCCCCAGAAAAAAATACTTAAAAGAGAAAGGTATCACAGTGTGAGAATGTGTGCCTTTATCTTTTACCCAAGATAATACTGACAACTTTCAGTAATAACTGAAATAAACTGATTACCAATCACCTGTAATTCTGATATAAAAATGAGCAGAGGGCATGAACTATTATCATTCAATATATAAAGTATATATTTTCCACAGACAACATTTATGATCTACAGGTGATTTCATGACTGCATAAATGTTGTCTGTGGCAGACAGCATGAGGTAATATTCTTTCAAGCCAAAACCATGGTTTAAAATAAAATTCAATTGCAGATACAGTGACACCTCGGCTTATGAATGCCCCTATTTTTGAACTTTCCGGTTTACGAGCTCAATTTCTTCATAAAATGTGAATCGGCTTACAAGCTTTGCCTCGAGTAACGTAGTTTGTTGATATGCATATGGGCAACCTAGCGTGTGGTTCCTGATGGCACGGTCATGCGTTCTTCAGTTTACCAGTGCCACCCACTTAGTGACAATCACGCTTGAATTCTTTGTAAAGAATTTCATTGTGTTTCATTTTTTGGGGGTTTTGAACAAAAAGTAATTATTATATATCCTGCCATGGGTCCCAGGAAAGTCAATGGTAAGGTTCAACCTAAGAAAACACATGTGAGGATGACCATAGAGCAAAAACAAGAGATCATTCGTAAACATGAAAATGGTACATGGGTTGTTGAACTAGCTAGGCAGTACAACAAATCTATGTCAATGATATGTACTGTAATTGCTAAGAAAAAGGACATTACGAGTGCTAAAGTGGCAAAAGGCGTATCAACAATCATAAAACAAAGAACACAAACACTTGCGGATGTTGAAAAGTTATTAATTTGGATACACAACAAGGAGTTAGCAGGTGATAGCATTTCAAGAGGCCATCAATTGTGAAAAGCAAGGCTATTGTATGAAGACCTTTTAAAGAAAACCCCTGGAACAAGTGAAGCAGATACAGTACAGAAGAGTTTAAGGCAAGCAGGGGGATTGGTTTGAGAAATTTAGTAAAAGAAATGGCATTCACAGTGTTGTGAAAGTTGTGAGTTGATGGAGGAACACAGCGAAGAACTGACCACCGAAGACCTCCTAGCCCTTCACAAGGAGCAGCAACAAGAGACAGCTGAGGAAATTTCTTCTTCAGAGGAGGAGGCAGTACAGAATGTCCCTCAACAATTAAAAAGTGGTGTAGACTATGGGAAAAAACGCAAACTTTTGTTGAAACGACTCACCCAGAGCAAGCTGTAGTAGGCCGTTGCCTTATTTAATCTTTTTAATGACACTGTGATGCCTTACTACAGACAAGTGTTACAGCATAGGGAAAAACAAGTCTCTATGGACAGGTTTTTAGTGAGAAAAACAAGCAATGAGCCACAACCAGGTCCTAGTGGTATGCAGCTAAAATGTGTGAGAGAGTGTACCCCAGAGAAGTCATCACTGACTGATGTTATAATGGAAGGGGACTCCCCCCTTTCCAAACACTAACACCTCTCCTCATTTCCCCTTCCTCACCGTCTTCCATATGCCAACGAGTCGTCAATAAAGGTAAGCTATAACTTGTACATACCATAGTACTAAATATTTATGTGAATTAGGTATGAAATATATTTTGAAGTTAATTTTTTGGGGAGTGTAGAACAGATTAATTCAGTGTACACTATTTCTTGTGGGTAAATTTTGTTTCGGGTTGTGAATTTTCGGCTTATGAACCTTCTCTGGAACGGATTAAATTCGTAAACAGAGGGGCCACTGTACTCACACCTAAATACTGCACTTTACAGCATATGCACAGTATTATGTTAAAAACAGGTAGTCCCCCAGCTGGTAGCATTGGATATATTTTCTGGGAGTCATACCCAGCTTGTAGCACTAAAGATACAAAGTCAATGTTTGACTTTGGGAGAGTCAAACTTTACAAAAATATGAATCAGAAAAACTTAACACTTTATACAAGTTTTCAATGTACTCAGTATAAAATATATTTTGTACTAAGCTTTATAACATAAATAAATATGATTATATATGTCATGAATAATATTTTTGTGAAAAATGAAGTGTGAGAAAATCACAGATAATTTCCTGCCCATCTTTATCATCATCATTTTCCTGCTCAGAGATGGAAAATGAAATTGCAAGTATACCAATACACTTTAGTAATAAAAAAACTTACTTCTCGTTGTTACCAACCAATATATGACTGTGTTTAGCTGAAATACTGAATTAAAAAGTAAACCTAAAATAAAATGACTTCTTTTAATCCTATCAAGCAACTTTATTACAGTATATATTCTGGTACAATATATCAAATTGAAAGACTGGTATGTCTCAAGTATATATATACCATAGTCAGGGTTTCTTTTATCAACCACGAAGGTAATAATATCTTTAAATGTGTAAATACTGTAAATTATTTTGTCTAAATCTTTAAAGTAATGCCTTTTAAGCTCAATAGAAAAACTATAATATTAAATAGCTACATCAAAGCTCATATGAAGATCATGAAGTGAGCTGGTATTTCAGGAAAAATGATGTGTTATGATATTGATTCACAGTGACCCAGAGACCTTGTTCACAAATATATGCTTTCATCAGTTAGCTCCTCTAATGCATCTGTATATTCACCTTCAGAACTGTCTCTACTAGCTTGACGGTCAAGTCCACGAGACATCATTGCATAATTCTTCAACTGACGTTCATTTTCAAGGGATACTTTCAATTTAAGATCCATACTACTTCTGTTGCCACAAAAACTGTACACACGTTTTGCTGTCTTCACCACATCACTTACAGATATCTTTCGTATGAACTGTTTCTTTCTCACTATAACGTCTGCAATTTCTTTCTTTATAGTATCAATGCAGACGAGTGTGTTAAACTCTACCAGCTTTGTCAGGCGATCAAACTGCTTTGGCTCATATACAAAGTTCATAGAAGAAAATGGATTCAGAGGATCATCAAAAATGGGGAAGTCAGCAAAACTGAATTCCTCTTCTGTTTCTCTTGGAACTCCTGTAAATAATTATTTAATTTTTATTTTAAATTCATCAAGAATCAGAATGTAAGTGAACAGAAAATTCAAAATAACGTCATAAAATCCCTTGAGAAAAGAAATCAGAAAATCTAGAAACAATTACTAGCAAACTAATTCACAATTCCAATTTTATTTTATTATTTATAAATGCTACCTCATGTGAGCTTAATGCAGGTAAATAACATGTCATGAACACAAGTTAACACTTTTGCCCGGTGATCACGCATAATGCAGGAAATTTTTTTCTCACAGATGTACACCAATCATGCATATTGTGCTGTAAATTAAAATATTTGTTAAAATTCTAATTTATATAATTAATTTTATTTTATTATTTATAAATGCTACCTCATGTGAGTTTAATGCTGATAAATAACACGTCATGAACACAAGTTAACACTTTCGCCCAGTGATCACGCATAATGCGGCAAATTTTTTTCTCACGAATGTACGCCAATCACGCATACTGCATTGTAAATTAAAATATTCGTTATAATTCTAATTGTTTTCCGATCATTCTGGTACTGGTTTTATCATGAGCGCTTTTAGATTGCGCACAATTTGATACTATAATGAATGACATAGCACAACAATTGAGGTGAGAACACTGGAAAGATCATGAATACTTTTGTGGTATTGTGTCGAAAATTTAAATATGGAGTATGTTAAAATTCAATTTATTATTAAATTATTATGGGACTAGTTTTAAAATGCATGCTTTTAGATTATGAACAATTTGATACTGTAATGAACGATGTATATCGGAAATTGATGTCAGAACACTGGAAAGATTGTAAATACTTGTAGTAATGAGATCCAAAAATAAAATATTTGTTAAAATTCTATTTATTGTTCGATTATTATAGGACTAGTTTTAAAATGTGTGCCTTAAGATTGCAAACAATTTGATACCAAAATGAACATAGCATGACAATTGAGGTCAGAACACTGGAAATATTATAAATACTTGTGAGATGGCGAGTGTCCAAAAACTTAAATATTTGGTAAAATTACATTTCTTGTTCGATTATTATGGGACTAGTTTTAAAATGCGCAACTTTAGATTGCGAACTATTTTATAACAAAATGAATGACATAGCATGACAGGTCAGAACACTGGAAAGCGTATATATAAGGTCAGAACACTGGAAAGAGTATATATGTCCCAGGACTCGCGGGGCCGGGTACGAATCGCCAAACCCACCTTGGAGTGGGTTTGGGTACGCGCTCTGGGAACGCGAAAGTGTTAATTATTGATAGTGATCTAAATACATACTTTAATACTTATGCAGTACAGTGCACACACCAGGCATGTATACACTGAGAGGTGAACTCAATTCTCAGTGTATATACACAGAGTTTACTTTTGTCCTGCACTATGTTCAGGACTAGAGTATATTTGTTGATTAGTCAGTAAACTACTGTATTGTGGTGGCTTAACCATTAAATGGCTAAGCTAACTAATAGTCCTACATTATGGTGCACATGAAAAAAGCATTCATAAAATCCACAAGGAACAAATGGATATTAGTAATTGGAGAACAGGAGAAAATCACAGATAGTCATTAAAGCTATTCAAGAGTTAAGAACCTTTCAGAGGTTGATAGACCTTCAGCTTAACACCATGTATACTTCTTCACTAATATGATGCTTCATAGTTTACATCAGTACAGTATGGTATTGCATAGTTTGATTTCAATGCTTAATATTTGTAACTACATAATTAAATGCAATTTATTTGAGATTTAAATAACAACATTAAAATCTTTAATTAGATGATGTTAATGATGAAAAATATCAGGTTAGTCAAAGATCAACTAAATCAACAACAAAATGTCAAAACACCAGTCTTAGAAAAAGAAAATAATCCATTCAGAAGTTTACAAAATTCCTAATATCTTTTACACATGCCTTATTTTAATGCCTAAGGGTATTAGGGTGACAGTAATACAATAACTAGGTATGTATAAACTAATAGATAACACTTAAAATAGTCTCAAATCTTCAACAAAATCTAGAATACACTAATATACAAAATTATGTCTAACGAATGAAGGTAACAAACTACAGTATTTGTATCAACACACCATAACTTCCAATAACATACCTGGTGCTTTAAAATTCTTAAATTTGTTGTTGACCAGTGGAAAATGCAGAATGACTGGACAAAACTGGTCAGTTGGATGCTTGAACACGTAACACTCACGGACTTCTTCATTTTCATATTGACCAACCTGCAGAATGATGTTTCCAATATATTTTATCTTAGATAATAAACCAATATTCACCAGTAAAGTAATTTTTCAATAATAAGCACCCTTCACATGGATCTTTTGTTAAGATTAGTCAAAACATTATTTGAATATACTTTTAATAGTTTACCTGATTTTGTATTGGAGGAAATGGGACTTTGTTTTGCACTGCCCATTTTTCTGCAAGTAGTAGTTCCTTGAAAGGCTGTGCTTTGTCTGAGGGCCTCTGAGAGAAGTCAAATGAAAGGTAAATATCAACAGCTCGTTGTGGTCGCAGAAGGAGTGGGTACGGAGAGTTGAAGGCCAGCCCAGAGTCAACTATGAACAACTTCTTTGCTGTGTTATCTAAGGGCTTATACCTGCTACTCATTCCAATGTCCACTGAAATTAGAAGAAATATTGTTGATTTAAAAATTATGAATAACTGATAAATTATGAAATCAAACAATGTACGGTACACCATAGCTATATGAACTGTCACACACAGATCACACTAACGTGATGCATCAAATGAACAAATCCACAAGGGCCGTGATGAGGATTCGAATCCGTGACGAGAATTCGAACGAACTAGCTCAGTCGATTAAGGCAGTGTCTGGGATGCTCCCAGACGCAGGTTCGAATCCTCGTCACGGCCCTTGTGGATTTGTTTATATGAACTGTATTTCTCTACGAATATAATACATAATTTTTGCTTGAGGGAAGCATGTGTGGTATTACTTGAATTTACCCGAGAGCCACCATCTATCTACTGGCCTCCATAGCAACAGGAAGCCAGCAGCTCATCAAAAGTCCCCATATATTTCCTGATTAATTTTTTCAAGTGCTTTTTGAACCGCAGTTAAATCTTGACATTTATTACTTCAGTGGGTAGAGAGTTCCATGGGTTCATAAACCAATGAGTGAAAACCATCCTGTTTTCTATCCTACATTGTGGCTTGTTGAACTTGATGCTGTTGTTCCTTGTATGTGTCGTGTGATCTTTTAAATAAGTGGTCTGGATTAATATCCTCCAATCTGTTCAGTATTTTATAAGTTTCTATGAAATCTGCTCTATCATATCTGATTTGCAGTGTTGTTATTCCTGAGGCTCTTGACCTTTCCTGGTATGAGAGTCGACTTAGTTCTAGGATGATTTTTGCTGCTTTTGCTCCCTACACTTTATCCAAAACCAGATATGTCATTCTGAAGATGAGGTCTCCATGCATGAGAAGAAAAACAGCGTTAAATGTAATGAAACGCCATTTTCTAGGTGAGTCCCAGAGGTTCCCCAGAGCTATCCAGGCTGATATTGATATCCTTAACTTTGGCATCAGTTGATGTGGGTTCTATCGGGGACTATGAGCCAGAACCTGGCCCCCTCAGACAGGCATGAGGAACAATAGCCTATTGAAATTCACATGTGATTTTGGAGCATTCCATATCTGCCATCGACCGGGACAGGCTCCCAGAAAGGTAAGCTTCCCTAAACAAACCCCTATTCTGGTTAAAACGATGAAAATAGACAAATGAGTGGACAGAACTCCCCAAATGAAAACGAGCAAATGAGCATGACGTCACATGAGCTGCGCCGCATGTCTGCACAGCTCTATCCTCCCCGGGAGGGAAAAGTGGGAGCCCAGACCCCCGCACCAGCGATCCACCCTGCAGTTCTGAGGCTGGATATCAAAATACCTGAAAACCGTTGACCGGAGGGAGGGAGGGAGGGAGAGAGGGATGCCGGGCAGCCTCTGAGACTCACCCAGAAAATAGCGTTTCATTACATTCAACACTGGTTTTCTGGGGGGAGCCGCTATGGCTCCCCGGAGCTACTTCACCAAAGACAAAAGCAGAGGGACTCATCCGGGAGGTGGTCAGTGCTCACATCACAACACTAAGTCAAAACAGGCTGTAACCGCCGACCCAAAGAGAACACAGGCCCGACTAGGCCCAGGAACATACACAAGGTAGTGTGCAGCCAGGACCCAGCGTGACCGCCAAAAACTCCGTGCCCAAAAGTCAGCCCAAGATATGGTGCCAAAGACGGCAGCAAGCGCAGCAAACTTACGAACGTCACGGGCATGGGGATAGACCACAGGCTGGCTAGACCGAAAGACCCTGCAGACGACCAGAGAGACCTGAACCCGAGAACAGGGAAGAAGGGAAATCGGATCAACCCAAAGCTTGTCCCGGCCACAGAGGCCCTGGCGCACAAATAATAACCTCGTGCCCCTACCAGTGCAAAAACTACCACTTACCCCAAGGCAAACAAGGGTGGAAACCCCCCCAAAACACTCAGGGCAGTCAATCACCAAGCAGCAAAAGACCAATAGAGGTAGACCCAATGTGAATTGTGGAAGAGAACCCCAAGCCCCAAGGGCAGGTACAGTACTTACAGGGCACTCAGGGAAGGTGACCCCTAAGCACATGCAGCCCGAGTACCTGTGAATATTAGTCCCAGCTCACATGCCACAGTAAGAGCAGCACTGAAACAGAGGACAGCACAACAAGAATCCGGAGCTGGAGCCACACGACTATGCCGTATCAAGTCAGCCAAAGAACTGAAGTGTGGATCGCCGGTGCGGGGGAGGGTCTGAGGCTTCCCCCTTTCCGTTCCTGGGGAGGGGGAGCTGCGTAGACATGTGGCGCGGCTTGTGTGACGTCATGCTCATTTGCTAGTTTTCATTTGGGGAGTTCTGTCAACTATTTTGTCTATTTTCGTTGTTTTTAACCAGAAAGGGGGGTTTGTTTTGGGACGCGTACCTTTCTGGGTGCCTGTCCCGGTCGATGGCAGATATAGAATGCTTCAAATCACATGTGCATTTCTATAGGCCATTGCTCCTCATGCCTTTCTGAGGGGGGGGGGGCGCAGGTTCTGGCTCGTAGTCCCCGGTAGGCCTAGAACTCCACCCACATCGACTGGTGCCAAAGTTAAGGATATTCATATCCTGGATAGCTCTGGGAAGCTGAAGGGGCTCCCTCCAGAAATTACCCTGAAGCAACACACACAAACTAACCGGTCCCCAGAGAGAATCCATGACCGTTACTGAATGGTAGCTGCGCCAGCCACAGTGTGCCCCCACCCAGCCCAAACCCACTCAATACCCGAGGCAAGATGGGCAGCCCAAGATACCCAGCGAACCCCAAGAGTGAAAACAACAAGCAATGAAGTTCTCAAATGGGAGTGAGACCCGAATGACTCAGGGAAGGTAACCCTGATCTGCAAGGGAAGTACTTACCGGGTACCTAGGGAAGGGAACCCTAGGTGCATGAAGCCCAGTATACTTGTAGGAACACCTGGTCACCACACAACACAGCTGGCAAAGTCACAAATGCAAAGACAGACAAAAATTGAGGCCAGAGAGGACATGTAAACAATGACACATCAGTCTACAAACTGAGGGGTAGTGCAGCCGAATTGCCTGAGCACCCCCCCCCCCCCCACTGGGGGAAGGGGGTGCTAACAAGCAGAGCACGCTAGTAGGACGACTATTGTTTGATTTTTTGTCTTCTTTTGGGGGGAGTTCTTTGGCTCTGTTCAGAAGTAGATTGAAATTTTAACCAGTTAGAAGTTTGTATTGGTTCGCCTACCTTTCTGGGCTTTCCCCGGTTGATGGCAGACATGACAAACTCTAAATGTAGAGAGCTCATATGGCCATTGCTCCTGCGCCTCTCTGAGAGGGCCAGGTTCTGGCTTGTGGCCCCCAGTAGGCACTCAAACTCCAAGGGCACCAAACTAATATGGCTCATGTCCATTTGATAGCTTCAGGGAGCCGATGGGACTCCCCTCAGACTTTGAGGGGAGTTCTTTTAGGCTTCGAGTCATCAAAAAATTAAAAAAAAAAAGATACTCTTCAATATTAAATAATAAATTCCAAACTATCCTACTATGAAAATAGATAAAAATAATATTTATAAACATGAAAGGATTCCATGGGAAAACCATCTCTTACATCCTGGGATGCAAACAATACTGGTGAAACAAATAGATCAAGCTCACCTACAATGGTACTGCCTTGAGGTTACCTTGAGATGATTTCGGGGCTTTTAGTGTCCCCGTGGCCAAGTCCTCGACCAGGCCTCCACCCCCAGGAAGCAGCTTGTGACAGCTGACTAACACCCAGGTACCTATTTTACTGCTAGGTAACAGGGGCATAGGGTGAAAGAAACTCTGCCCATTGTTTCTCGCCGGCGCCCGGTATCGAACCTAGGACCACAGGATCACAAGTCCAGTGTGCTGTCTGCTCGGCCGACCGGCTCCTGCCCTGGCACCACACTCATAACATTAAATTAATTCAATAGCTTCTTTTCATTAATTGATGCTAACAATGTTAGAAACATCTCACACCCCAGGCAAGTGTTACTGCATAGCTCAAACTCACTAAAACTATTACCAGTCAATCCTTCAGATAATATCTCCATAATACACTCCTTCCATATCAACATCAGTAACATACATAGTTAGCACATGGCTTAGCACTTTTCATGACAATTACTTGTACTTATTAATAAACCTCAATGATATACAAAATGAACATTATTTTTTTCTTCAAAAAGGCCTTTGGAAAAATGTACTGATATAAACATTTATAGAACAATATTAAATCTACCAATATCATCAAAAATATTTGAGAAAATTATGTACAGAGAGCCAATTTGGCTATAGATCCCCGAAGTTTAATTCCTAGTTTTTGTTAACTTTAGGAGTCTAACATAGTGACTGCCAACTGAAACTTCATCAATATGGAATTCAAAGCCATATAAGGACATGTTAGTTAGTATTGTTTATAAAATATTATATAATATTAGAGAGCATCCTGTATTTTCAAGTTAACAAGAAATAAATATTTTTTTTTTTAAATAAATGTATGTGATTTAATCCAGCAAACTGATTTACCCACTGACTGCTTCCAGAAGTATTGGTTCAACTTGGTGGTGACCAGCACACATTGGAACAAAATTAAAAAAATATATATTCTATTGCTTTTTACTGTCACTGTATAAAGCTACTGTATATACATACTATAATTAAAATAGTCACTTTAAGAAGTGATACATAAACTAACATTATTAACTTCTGGATTACAGTAAACAACACATGATCTTACAGTCAGAATCCACTGTATCCTCCTGGTCTTCATCTTCACCCATAACATCAACAGCAAAAGGCGATATAGGAAAGGAATGTCTGAGGGAAAGGCCTCGGAAGGGATTGAGCACTTCCCCTGCTCTCCCAGCTCTGGAATTTAGTATATTGGCTCCAGTCATGATGTTCTGCTTCAGGCCATCCCATAAACCTGCTTTCTTTTCTACTCTTGACTTTCGAAAGGTTTTTCTGCAAAATTAAAATTAATTTATGAAATAAGTAATTACTTTTTGTTTGAGTGAATTAAAATTTATGAACAAGACAATTTTATGACCAAAAGAACTAAAAGATAATTAATAACAAAAGAGCAAAGAAAATTTCCTGTATTACAGTTGAAAGAAGGAAAAATTATATTAAGAGTTGAATTATGTTTACATCAATAAAGTGTACCAAACATACAATTATGATGAACATAATTGAATCAACAATATGCACACCATATTTTTGAGTACAGCGATGATTCACTCATTTTATTATATAAATATATCAAACTACACACTATTGAATAATATTACAGCAAAAAAACTATGAAAAATCAATCAGAGACATTGAAATAATTAGGTAATTATCTCTTTGTGGCAACTCTGGCCTGACAGCTGGCGATTAACAGACCGCCTGGGACGCACGCTGAGTCAGCGCCTGTTTTTTGCCAGACTTCCCCGCCCTATAGCAGGCAATATATGCCACTTACGATTTTTTTATTATTTTTCCCATGATCAGTGAACACAAATTAACAGGTTAGGAAGAAAAATTTTTTTTTTTTTCAAAATTACATGCGCCTGTGGGGAACAAAGGATATTATACCCCTAGCATGTTAAGGGTTAATGCTATTTCAACTTTAGTAATAATTTATATAAATTTTAATTTAATATTCCACTAACATGCCAATTATAATAATTATCCACTAGTTTTCATCAATAGCCTAAGATCTGTTATACACACTTTGTAAACTCAAATCACATAACTGTCTATAAATTCATGCCAAAAGATTATAACCAATAATAATACTATAAAATACAACAAATATGATTATCTGAAAGACTTGCACAACTTAATGGTAGTGTTATTTTGGTTTAATCCCATTTTCCTTGATCCTTTGTATTTATACACCACTCTGTAATATAATCTTTGTATTCTTTTGCAAATTATAGATGAGTGATAGTGATTGAGTAATTATCAGACATATTAAACACTCATACTTGCCTTCTCTCAGCCCAGACTTTTGGTCCGGGTGCAGACCTATTATTTCCTTCTTTCCGAGATGCTTTAAAAGCTCCTTGGCGAACTAATCTTGAGGTAACAGCCGTCTGATTCGCCTGATACTCTGTCTTACCCCCTGGGTCACTCTCAGAGCTGGTCTTTCTGTTATCTTTAGAAGTCTTTCTCTTAGTTAGGTCAAAGTTAAATCCAGAAGAGAATTTTCGGGGTTTTTGTTGTGAATCTCCTTCAGTTCTTCCAGCAAATATTTTCCTTTCCTCTGTACCATTTAGATGAAGAGAATCAACTGATTTGGCTGTCAGCATTGTTTTGTTTTGATTAGATTTCCGGTGAAAAGGAGAGTTTTTTTTTGACAGTAGTGTGGAACTTTTCTCCTCTTGCTCAAAAGGACTAACAGTTTCTCCATGTTCTGAGATAGAACATCCTGATAACTCATTTTCCAAAGAATCTACTTTGACTGGCTGTGCTACAGAGTATCTTGGGACATCAAATTCTTCTTCTTCAGATTCTTTATCATCTTTACCCTGAATATCTTCCTCATCTTCTGAGTCCGAACTCTCTCCTGAGCTGTGAGTGTCATCTCTTTGTTCTGAAAAGAAAAAAAAAGATCTTGCAAGTACAGTACTATTCCAATAATACAAAGATCTTTGGAAGGTGAGAGGTGAAGAGAATGCACATCCTCTCAAAACAACCCAAAGATAAATGGGCAAAATAATAAATTAAAAATTAAAATTTATGAATACAGTATTGTACTGTATACTGTAGAGTACTCATAAGAGTTATATAGATTTTAAACCTTACATAGAGGAACCTGGTGTGATGAGCGGCTCCATCTACGAGCATTTCAGGTAACGAGCAAGCCACTCGCAGAAAATTTGTCTCGACTGACTGACGAGCTTCCTCCTAGCGTTCCTGCTGGTTCTTGCAAATTCTCAGATGCCTCCGACGATACAAATCAATGAATTTTTTTTTAAAGATGCTAATGATGCTAGGATATAAAAGGATGACTGCTGTAATGTTACAAAGCATTGATTATTTTTTTTTAGAAAATTGTTAATAAATTTAAAATTTTGAAAAAAGAAGAAATGTCAAAACATTCGTTCAGTGTATGTCAGGTAGGATGCCCCATTTTCTATAAAAAAATAAAAAAATAAAAAAAATGAAAATATTAAAAAAAAAATACAAAATAAGGTTCATTCAGTGTACATCAGGAAGGCTACTCCATTTTCTATAAAAAATAAAAAAACCCAGCATTGAATGTAATGAAACGCCATTTTCTGGGTGAGACCTGGAGGCTCCCCGGAGCTATACCAGGCTGATATGCTAATGTCAGACTTTGGCATCAGTCATGTGTATGGAGTTCTTAGGGCCTACCGGGGACCACGGCCAGAACCTGGCCCCCTCAGAGAGGCAATGGGAGCAATGGCCTATAGAAACCCCTGTGTGGTTGGAAGCATTCTATTGTCTGCCATCGACCGAGTCAAGCATCCAGAAAGGTAAGCATTCCAAAACAAACCCATATTCTGGTTAAAATTGCTACCAAAAGCCGAACTAGTGGATAGAACTCCCCAACAGAAAACAAGCAAACTAGTATGACGTCACACGTCACCGTGCCACTGTCTGCGTAGCTCACCCCTCCCCGGGAGGGGGAAGGGGGAGACCCAGATCTCTCACGCCGGCTATCCACCCATCAGTTCTGAGGCTGGATTTCAAAACACGCGAAAAACCGCTGACAGGAGGGAGGGAGGGAGGGTTGCCGGGGAGCCTCCAGGTCTCACCCAGAAAATGGCGTTTCATTACATTCAATGCTGGTTTTCTGGGGGGAGCCCCGTCGGCTCCCCGGAGCTAACTACCCACAGAGGAAGGTCAAAGGGACGGAACTGGGAGGCAGACACCACGCACCCCTCAACGAAAGCGAGACAACCGGCAGCAAACGCCAACCCAAGGTGACACAGCCCCGAAAGGGCCCGGGAACAACACGAGACAACGAGCAGCAAGGCCCCTGTACAAACACCAAAAGATCCATGCCCGAATGACAGCAAGGACATGCCGCCCAGATGGCAGCAAGAGCAGTGAAGCCACGAACGTCATGGGCATGGGGAAAGAGCACAGGCAGGCTAGCCGCAATAACATGGCGGACAACCAGGGACACCTTCACCCGCGAACAGGGAAGAACGGAACCGGATCAACTCAAAGCGCGCCCTGGACATAGAGGCCGCGGCATGCAAATAACAGTGGAGGGCCGCCACTGAACACAAAACACGACACCCCCCCGGCCCGACCAACCAAGCACCAACAAACCAAGGACCCTTCCGGAACGCAGCAGCCCCATCCCGTGCCAGAAAAGATGGAGACTGCTACCACCGAACAACCAAAATGCCAAGACCGAAGGAGCAGAAAACCCCTGCAGAGGAGAGCAAGAAGCCCAGCGACCCGACCCCCAGAGGCAAATGCCAACAGGAAAAAGAGCAGACGAAAAACAAACCGGAACCGAAGGGGAACCACCAACCGAGGAGAAGACAGAGCATGCTGACCAGAGACTAGGACGTTGTAAGCGGCACACGTACAAAACAACAAAACAAAAGACCAGAGACCAGGATGGTGAAACAATGCACGAGACAGCTTACTACCGGTGCAGAAGCAAAACCAAGATTGAAAGTAAGCCGAAGCGGCTCCGCCAGCGCCGCATGAAACGAGGCGACAGTATGTGGCAAGACGGCGGCTCCCAACCCCCACCAGAAAAACCAAGCTGACGCTAACAACCGTAGCCACCTAAGAAGGTACAGGATGAAAAGGAAGGACTGCCAAAATACCCCATACTGCCGCCAAGAAGAAGCATGCAGGTGGACCACCAACAACAAAGCCACCAGACCACCAACTGGAGGCGGGACACGTGAGGCAGAACATAATCAGCCCCGACAAGGCTCATCTGAGCCCAGGAAAAGGCGGAGCCACGTGAAGATCTCGGGAGTGACCACCAAAGCCCAAGCCGACAAAAAGGAGATGGAATGTCTGCCGACAGAAAGCTCCCCAATGCGAGCAAGCCCGCCAGGAGACCAGAAACGCCGGGTCCGACGCGAGACATCGCAAGACCCTGAAAAGCCAACAGGCAGGGCAAGCCAGGAAAACCGAAGAAGGTGTAAGGGTTGCCACCAGAACAGTACCCAAACCAAGGGGTACGAGCAACGGAAACAGACCAAGACACATAAGTGTACCATATGACACAGGCTGAAGGAACGCCCAAGGAACGCACAAAGAAAACCCCTGTGGCAAAGGAGGAAACAAAGGGAACCGCACAAGGAAGGGAAGTGGCGGAAACCGACCACCCCCCCCCATACAGCAGCAAGTGCAGGCAAAACCGAGCAAAGGAGATGCCAGGGAAGCGACAGGGGAGAGGCAGGACGAAAGAGCCAAAGCTCAAACCCCAAGAAACACAACCAGGGGTGGACAATCAGGTGTGGACAGAACCCCACGCACATGGAAGGGCCAAGCCAGGTACCCAAAGACCACAAAAAATAACACAAGCAAACCCCCATATGCAAGCCACAGGCAAAAAACAGCAGCAAAGTGCCACACCACAACCTGACACAGGAACAAGGGCATGCCAGTGCGAAACACGTTACCAAGGCACACGTGCAGCAACAACATGCACCACATGCAACACGCAACATGTATGCAGCAACTTGTCTCTGCAAAGGCAGAGAACGGAGCAGGCAGACTCCAGGCTGACCCAGACAGGGCCAACGGAGACACGACAGAACCCAGCAGGCCCAGAAACCTGCACACCAGGCGACCGACGGTGGAGATACCTGCTCAATACCTGCTCGATGGGGTTCTGGGAGTTCATTTACTCCCCAGGCCCGGCCCAAGGCTAGGCTTGACTTTTAAGAGGTTGGTCCACCAGGCTGTTGCTTGGAGTGGCCCGCAGACCCACGTACCCATCACAGCCAGGATGGTCTGGATCCTCTATGTCCTCTATCTTCAAGGATCCTTGATCCTTGAAGATGTCCACGGATGTACAGGCAATATGTCTTATGCTCGCAGGTAGGACGTTTAACAACTGCAGACCTCTGATGTTTATACAGTGTTCCCCGATTCAGTCTATGGCACCACTGCTCTCCACTGGTACTACCCTGCATGTACTTCTATATAGGTGGGACCAAAGAGCCAGAGCTCAAACCCCGCAAGCACAACCAGGTGAGAACATAACCAGCACCACAACCCACACACCTCATAACATGAAAGAGGTAGGTCCCCCGAATGACTCTAGCATGGGTTGGACATGCCTATGAGTGGGACTGGAAGGGTTGAAAAGGGACAGTCACCGGTGTGCTGACGGTCTCATTTGTACATAAATATACCTAAATAAAGACAGGTATATAAACATCTCCGCATCCAGCGCCTGGCCGAAAGACGCCAGATCGCAGAAACTCACCTGTCGAACGGAGGCACGAACGTGATACGACCCAACAGTGCCAAGAAGATCCCGGGAGCACCACCAGGTGAAGAAGCCAGAGCCGGACACGCAGGAGAGCAGGGTAGAGGCGGAGGAGGAGGCCCACACCCATGACACAGGGAAAACCTCAGCGTCCTCCCCACAGCTGTAATCCAGGACACCCCGGAGCGATGGGGCACATATCGGCGAAAGGAGAAGAGCGAGAGGCAAAGCACCCGATAAAAAAGCGCGCAAAACACCAGCACTGAAACACACCGCCCAGACCAAAACAAACTCCCATGGTGCATGTGCAGGACACGCTGGCTGAACCGCACAACCCGCTCTGCGGAAAGGCACCAACAAGGACTACTGCACAAGAAAAGTAGCCAAACAGAACGCAACCCTAGGGAACCGCTAATTAGAAAAACAACCCATCACATGGTACAGGAGCCAAAAGATGAAGCAGCGATAACATAACCGGCCAACAAAGCGAAGACAAGGAGCCCAATGGGAACTCAACCGGGCCACAAGTAGCCCAACTGGGCTACAAGTAGCCCAAACCTACCAAAGTAGGCGACCCGGACTAGGAGCCGACAGACGTTCCAATAATACAGGAAGTAGCGAAAACCTACCCGAACCCTCGAGAACACAGAAGCAAACACCAGTCCCGAAGGCACACAAAGGCCCAGTTGCACCCGAGACCAAAAGTCACGTAGAACCCCAATAATGGGGAAACATGATGAAGATACCCCGTCCTCCAAAAAATAAAGGGGAAGAGCAACAGAGAAGAGCACCCACCTACAGGACGGAACAACTGACTCAAAGGACAAAGAACCAAGCTCAGGGAGGGGCCGACGCCCAGCAACTCGTACGGCGAGGGGAGAGGAAAAACCATACGCCGCATAATCGCAAGCCCCGCCTAGAGGAGAGAAAAAAAACACCCCCGGGGTCCTATGGGGCCTAGGCCCCCCAAGTCAGCCCTGGGAACCCACACGACAGGCCCCGGGGCCGAGTCGTCCTCCCCAAAGCCCTGGCTGTACCAGAAAACCGGGGCAGCCGCAAAAATACTAAGGAAAGGAGCCCACTAGCAGACTCTTACAACACGGCTGGAGGAACAGGCTTGAATGCCTCGTCACTACCCCGGAAGGGGAATTTCCCGAGACCGCCCAAGTCTCAAAACCATCGAACCCAGCCCCGAACCTACAGACGGTAAGGAACCGGATGGAGGCAGGAAGGGGGGATCCAGGGGAAAGACAAGGGGGCGTGGAAGGAACCGAAGCAACCAACACCCCCAAGTCCCAACACGAACCAAAACGGGGCAGCCCTGGGGCTCCTGGGAAGCAAGCAAACGAAAGCGTTGCCACCACCAAAGCTCAATGTGCAATGCCCCTGCTGCCTGCACCCGTTAGTCAGCACACAACTGGGTAACCGAGCCACAACGAGCAACAAAACTCGCAGGACTCCGGGTCGAAGGTGTCACCGACCCCACAGGCAGCAGACGGAGGCAAAACCGAAAGTCACCCTGAGACAAGGGGTGAGAGCAACCCTCAAACTCGCTGGAAGCGAGGGGAGACTCCGGGATCACATCCATTGGACCCGTGCGCCCCCAGGGGTTTCCAAGGGTCCCGAGCATTTACTATAATAGGACTCACACTCAGGTAATCCCAGGCAGGGTACTGCTAACCGGTGCCCAAAGCTACCAAACAACTTTCTAAAAACTGAACCCCCGGGACATGTACACTCACGGGGATCTAGCAGGGGGAACCACCAGAATAACATATTCAGAACACAAGGGACACAGGGGGCAAGAACAAAGGCAGACTCTCCACCAGGTAGATAAACAAAAAGAAAAAGAAAACCCCGCAAGAGGACAGCGCACCCAGGCGGAACAGAGCCGGCCGCCATATAGGTAAAAACAGGCTGCACAGCACCCTGCACCCCACCAGTGCAAAACTGCCCCTTACCCTAAGGCGAACAAGGGAGGCAGAACACCCGAGCAATGACTCACCCAAATCAAGCTGCAGTAGGCTGTTGCCTTAACCTTTTCAGTGATGCATCACTACAGACAAATGTTAAAACGAAGGGAAAACAAGTGTCGCTAGACAAATTTTTAGTGAGACAAACAAGCAGTGAACCACAACCAGGTCCCAGTGGTATGCAGGAAAAACGTAGGAGAGAGTACCCGAGAGATATCATCACTGCCTGATGTTTGTTATAATGGAAGGGGACTCCCCGTCCAAACAGTAACACCTCTCCTCCTCCCCCCTCCTCACCATCTTCCATACACCATCAAGAGTCCTCCATAAAGGTAAGGTAAACATATGTACTGTATTGTAGTTAGAGAAAATAATTGTATTCAGTATAAACTGTATTTTTAAGTTAATATTTTTGGGGATGGGGAACGGATTAATTAAATTCCCTTATTTCTTATGGGAAAAATTGTTTCGACTCACGATATGTCTTTGGGAACTGAATACCATCATAAATCAAGGCCCCACTGTATATACACATCAGCCCGGTATAGCTCCAGGGAGCCGAAGGGCCTCTCCACAGAAAATAAGCATACACAAAACCACATTGGATGCATATATTTTGGGGGAAATTATGAAAATGAACATTAATATTAAAATTATAATTAAGTGGCAGTACTTACTTTCCATTTCGTCCTTCTGAGCATCTCTCATGATCTGCACAATGTCCTTCTTCCCCCCTTCCATCACCAGCCTCTTGATGAGTATTGTGAAGGCGCTGCCCCACACTCCTGAAATGTTGCTCTTCTTACTACTTACTCATAACACTGTGGCATATATAGTAAATAAATAAATATTTTATATAAGTAAAAGTATATACTTGCATACCGAGTTACAAGTAGAATGTTGGATTTCTAGATAGAGCTAGTATATATTATGCCTAAAGCCACTAATACACACACCATTTTGAGCAATATGTGGGAAAAGCTTAAAAACTAAGATTTAAGTCTAATTGAGATAAAATCATGAACTGAACTGAAGGAGAAGAAATAATGACAATAATTACATGTTGAATTGACAGCAGCAATTGCAACAGAGAAGCAATAGTAATTTTGAATAAATAAACAGAAGGACTACAATTTTCTTAAGTTTATACATAGCAGATATTAGCAGTTTATAAACTTAACCTTAAACTGCGCAAAACCTCATATGGTGTGTGACATTGAGCTCAGTTTTTTAAATTTTCTGAAACTCTTTCAATTTTTTGTGAATAATCTGCTAGGAAATGCTCCAACTCTGTCTAAATGATACCAGTGTAACTCGAAAAACAAGAAAATAAAAAATAATTATAAAATTGAATATTGAAAACTTCAGATTTTGAAATCGGCTGCAAAAATATAAAAATATCACTAACTGTTCATTTGGTGTTATTATGCTCTCAGAATAGCATATGATCTTCATTTTCATATAATTAGAATATAGGTTTTCAGTATAGTTTACTGTAAAAAAAAATTCAATATGGCATTTGAAATATGCGTAAATTTAGACAACAAACATTTATAATTCCAAACGTTTAGAGTTTATGAAAAATCAATTCTATAGGTCGGTCGGTCGGCTGGTGACTGATTTGTGACTGGTCGGCACCGACTCTGCTCGTAAGTCGGCTTCTCGAAATGGGTGCAGGCCTTTTTGCGGATCGCCCCTTGATGGAACGCTGGGGGGAGGCTGGCTCTGTTTACCCACACCTGGTCCCACGATTCATGGGCGTTTCGGGTCATATCCTCTTACTAGGGGTGGCATTGGGCCGCGCCGCCTCCTCTCGGAGGATCGGGCCTGGTGGGGCAGGTTTCTTCCCTTTACTCCGTCGGCTCACACTTGAGTGAGTTTGCTTGAGTGTGGTCAAGATAACTTCGTCCCTCAAGTGGGTATGTGGTGCCTCTCAGTGTATGTGGCACCCTTCCCCGACTGCATAGCCATTGCAGTAACCCTTTTCGGCGGGACTGGTCGAGGTAGGGTTACCTGTATCTCTTACCCCCTGGTCCAGCTGTTGCTTTGGGTTCTGGCTCGGCTGGAGTCCTATCAGGAGGAGGGTCCTCCTTCTGACCCCATGATGGCCAGCCCAGCCTTGGTTTCAGGCGCTGTTTGTTCGGTGTCTGAACCCGGGACGTTTTATGTGGCTCCGCCTCTTTCAGCAGATCGTGCCGGTGAAGTACCTTGCTGGTTTGACCTACTCTTCTACTCTTCACATCTGGTATTTCTGACGTGTGTGCATCACCACTTGTATAGTAATCAGGTGGGTTCTCTCATGGTGTCTCACTTGCAGTCTTCTTCTCAGTAACAGTGTGAAGTCTCATGGCATTCTTTTTGCTTCTTCCTTTCTCTTCATAGGTTGACTTCTGTTTCTGTTTATGTTGTTTTGTCTTTCCTTTCTTGGCTCTTTCAGGACCAAGCTGCTGAAAATTGTCACCTTTTATCGTGTGGCACTGGCGAAGCCACTACAGCTTGAGTTCAGCATGGATGTCACTTCGGCTCCATTCCGAACGCTTTCTCGTGCATTTTTCCACCTCCAGTTTGCTCATGTGCCACCTGAGATGTCCTGGTTTTTGGATCGGGTGCTCTCTTTTCTCTCTTCTCCTTGGTTTGTTGTGACCCCTTCCATCCAAGATTGTTTTCAAAATGCTTTGTTTTTGTTGGCTTTGGCCTCTGGTTGTCGGGTTGGTGAGCTTCATGCTCTCCTCCGGCACAGGGGTTTCTGCTCTTTTGGTCCTGGTGGATGTTTTGTTCGTTTGCAGCAGTCTGCTTTTCTGGTGAAAAATGTGATTGCAGGCTTGCGGCTTTACGCCATTACCTGCATACCTTGGGTTCTGTGTCCGGGGATGCACTATGAGTTGATTCGATATCCCTCGTTCCCTGTTCCAGGACTCGGGTCTCTCAGGTCGTCCACAAAGTTATCTAGTCTAGCCAGCCTGTAGTCTACCCTCGTGCCAATGATGTTCGAACGTTTGTGGCTCTCGCTACTATTTTTGGGAACATGTCTTGGACTGCATTTGGGCTTGGGGATTTTGGAGGTTGATCAGTCCTAGCCGCCTGTTATCACGTGAACTTTCCGGGCCCTCAGTAGTCTTGCGTGGCTTTGGGCCGTCGGTTGCAGCCAGATGTCTTGTCTTCGTCATGAGGCACGACGCAGTTCTGCAAAATCCCAGGTAAGTCCCTCTTTTACTTATCTTTGGGTATCTAGCTTCAGGGAACTGATGGGGCTCCCCACAGAAAACCAGCGTTGAATGTAATGAAACGCCATTTTCAGGGTGAGCCCCAGGAGGCTTCCTGGCACCCTCCCTCCCTCCAGTAAGCTGTGTTTCTTCCATTTGCTCAGTCCCCGAACTGGTGAGTAGGCGGCCAGCTCGAATGGGCAGGGCCTCCACTCCCTCTCCCATGGAGGGGGCACGAACAAGCAGTGGGTTGGTTTGATGATGATTTGCTTATTACCTTGTTTTTGTTTTGGGGGAATTCTTGGGCTCTGTTTGGTCTTGGGTTGCAATTTTCTACCAGTTGGGGTTTGCTTTGGGCTGCCTACCTTTCTGGGTGCCTAATCCCGGTCGATAGCAGACGTGAATATACTGTACTCTCAAAGAGTGGAGTTTTCATATGTCACTGCTCCCTTCACCTCCCTGAGGGAACCAGGTTCTGGCTCGTGGTTCCTGGTAGGCATAAGAACTCCATGTGACTGAAACCTCAGACTAATATAGCTAATATCAGTCCAATACCTCCATGGAGCTGATGTGGCTTCCCACAGAAAATAACATACATTATGAGATATACAGAAGGGCAGCAAACTCAGCCACTCAGGAAATTAGATTAGCCAAAAGAAATTACAAAATTACAAGTCTCTTGACATTGTAACACTCCAGGTCTAAAAATAAATACTATTTGCTAATGCTAATTTTACAGATCGTTGTTGTTAAACAACAGTTGGGTTGTTAATTGTTACTTTTACAGATATAGAGGTCTTGGTTATTAATACTGTAGATAGGATGGTTATTAGCCTGTGAAATAAGGAAATAATGTACTATATTCTATTAAATTACTTTGGATGCTTCAATGCAGCATTAACAATTTCAGCATAGAGACAAGTCTCACCTTGCAGGAAGTGGAGAGGAAATTCATCAAAATGCTTAATTTTTTTTCCTACAATGAATTTGTTTCCAAAGTCTTGTGTCTTCATGAAAGTTCCATATTTAGCAATGCCTATCTCATATGGAGAAAATTCTACCCACTCCTGAAATTAATAATATAATTGTTAGATGTGTATTCCTGATATGAAAATTCACCTACAGTCTGTGGGATACAGTCGGCTTTCAGCTTACAGCAATCATAACTTACCCCAAACCTACAAGAGGACAAAATTTAGACCATTAATCAGTTACATGTAGCTTCTGATTGAAAGTAATAAGCATTGAATTTCAGACACACACATTTAAACAAAAACAATATACAGTACTAATTTGTTGAGTTTGAACTGTTTATAATACAAGAAATGAACATTTTGACTTTTTACATCCCACTAAATTATGCTGTATATTGTAATAATAAACATTTAAATTGTGAAGGAAAAACATTAAATTTATTTAATTGCTTTGCACTAGGCTAATTTAAATAATTTAAATAATGCTTAGAGTACTGTATAAACATTGTTATACATTGTTTAAATTTGATATGTAACATTATTTTCAGTTGCAGGAAGCATCCATTTTTTCCAAAAAGATTTTAACAAAAAACTATAGTACAGTAATGTATGTGAGGAGTTTTACTGCAAGACTGAATCTATCCAAACATACCATGTACAAACATACCAAATAAAGTTATTGTATCCAAACATACAAATAAAGCTACTTAATATTTTGCTTTATTTTATTGTTATGGTCGTGCTAAATGGAAAGAAATCTGAATGGAGAAATGTGATAAGTGGGGTGCCATAAGGGTCCATTTTGAGACCTACCCTTTTTGTCATATACTGTACATCAATGACATAGATGAGAATATTATAAACCACATCATCAAATTTGCAGATGACACAAAGATATGGTAAAGTGGGAAATTATAATGATATTGAAGCCTCACAAAGAGATCTACATGAATTCCACAAATGGTCAGAAGACTGTCAAATGCTTTTTAATATTAACAAGTGCAAGACCCTGCATGTGGGGCAAAACAACTCACACCACAACTACCAAATTAATAGCATTACATTACAGCAGACTGATAAAAAAGGGATCTGGGGTTAAGATCCACCACTCATTAAAAGTTGCACAACAGGTGGGTGTAGCAGTCAGAAAAGCTAACCAAACTTTTGGGATAAGCAAGCATACTTTAACTATAAGGAAAAGAAGGTAATGGTTCAACTGTATAAATCTCTGGTGTGCCCCCATTTGGATTACTGTATCCATGCACGGACACCTCATTTCCAGAAGGACATAACTGCTCTGGAGAAGGTGCAACACCGGGCAACAAAAGTCATTACAGAGCTAAGTCATCTCCTGTATCAGAAATGCTTGAAGGCCAGAGGGCTATCAACACTGCAAACCAAGCATGATAAAGTGGATCTCAGTGAAACTTTAAAAATACTGAACACATTAGAGGATGTTGATATGGATATTTTCTTCAGAAGATCAGATGTAACACAAACAAGGAGCAATGGTTTAAGCTCAACAAGCCACAATGTAGGACTGAGAACAGGAGATCTCAGCACCAAGCACCGCCTGTCAGCACGCGAGGCGAGAAGCGAAGAACAGACACCGCTTCCAGAAATGGCGCATACAACTTCACCAAAGCAGCCGTCGCCCAAGCTGCCGAATCAAGTACACTAGACCCTGGCCCGAAACCCAGCTCCTCCACACCTAACACGAGACAGTATGAAGGCAGCTCCAGCAGAGAAAAGAAGCGCAAGACCGAAGCCAAGTGCCAACAGGCGCACAATCCTCGGCCACCAGGGATGCCGAAAGGGAGGGAACCAACACGTGAAGCCGCACCTGGCCGACATCATAAGGAAGGATGGGAGCGAACAAACACGCCTTGTGGTGCTCCAACTCACCCTCCCAGGAAAACCTGAATGACCGAAGGCAACTGTCGCCATTCAAGTGTGCATTTTGACAGGATGAATGCCTAGCCCCCCCAAAGAAGAAAAGGCGGTCTGCCAGCCAGAAAGACTCTGGCACCTTGTAACGCACCCAATAAAGAAAAAGAGGAACCAAACTCAAAAAGAAGCCTTCATTATGCAGGCGTAATCGGGGTCTCGCAGGAGGTAAGCTGCAAGGGGCCTCCCACACCTTCCTCAGTAGGATGCAGGAAGCCAAAAACCTCCAGAAGAAGGGAACCGAAGAACCCAAGGGAACTCGGACCCAAACCCGGGGAGAAGTCGAACTCATAACAAATCGTACAGGGAGGGGAAGAGGAAAACCCTCCCCCCCTGTAACAACAAGCCCCGTGCCGAAGGTACCAAACACCCAAGCAGAGACCAGTGGGGGCCCAGGCCCCCCCAAATCAACTCCTCCCCAGGACCGGAATCCTCCACGTCAGGACCTGGGGCCGAGCCGTCCTCCAGACCCTCTGCCTTTGGAGAAAAAGCAGAGTCCAACGGAAAAGCAGGGATGAGGGGGGCCCACTGGCATGGCCCAAAAGCTCCGGCAGGAGGACCAGGCTCGAATGCCTCCTCTGCTGATCCAGAAGGGGCAATCCCCGAAGCCACCCGAGTCTCACTACTAGTATAATACAGCGGGGCAGCTGCGAGGCATCCAGAAAAGCAACCAACCTCGCACCTTGCATGCAACACTAAAGCTGTCTGCACCCAAATATCAGTTTCAGTGGACTGGGTGAATGAAGTACAAGCAAAGAACACCACTCGCAGGACTCCGGGTCATAGGTGTCACTGACCCCAACAAGCAGCAAGGCGGAGGCAAACGGTGAGTGTCACCCCAAAACTGGGAAACAGAGAAACCTTCAAACTCGCAGAAGGCGAGGTAGGACTCAGAGGTCTCCTACATTGGACCATTGAGCCCCAATGGGGGTATCCAGGGCTCGTAAGCTGACTGCTAAGGGACGCCCAGGCGAGGTACTGCTAATCGGTTATCCCAGAGCTACCAAGCAAACAATCTAAAAGCTGAACCTCTGCGACATGTGCAAGCACGGGGACCTAGTGGAGGGCCACCAAAAACCTACCAGTGATCCTACCGCCACACCAGGCAGACCCCTGCCAAGCAAAACAAAAGAAAAACCCCGCAAAAGCACAATGTCTCCAGGAGAACAGAACCAGTCGTTATACGTGTATCAGACAGCTGCACAGTACCTCGCACCCCTGCCAGCGACGAAACTACCTCCTAACCCAAGGAAAAACAAGAGTAAGAACCACCCCAGCTGAACCCCCAAGGGCGGGCAATCACCGAGCAGCGACAGAACCACACAGAGATAGCTGCTCCTGAACGGCTCATAGAAGATAACCCTGAGGCCGCAAAGGCAGTACTTACAGGGCACCTAGGGAAGGCGGCCCTAAGTTCATGCAGCCCCAGTACTCTTGTGTTACGTCTGGCTCATACACCACCAAAACAGAGCAATAACACCGCACTGCAGCACTGCTCAAAGATTGGAGCCAGAGCAATCGACCGTCACCAACACAACAGCCTCTTGAACTGAGGATAATTGCTGGCGAGAAGGTCTGGGACCCCCCCCCTGTCCCCCTCCCGGGGAGGGGGGGTGCACAGACGGATGCACGTCATTTGTGGTGACGTCATGCTTGCTTCCTTGGTTTTGATTGGGGAGTTCTGTTGCTAATTCGGCTTTTGTTTTGCAAATTATTTGATCAGCAGTAGTTTTTTTGGAATTCCTACCTTTCTGGGTGCCTGACCTGGTAGATGGCAGGCAAAGACTGCTTTCAATTACATGGGGGGTGTCTTTTGGCCATTGCTCCTCGTGCCTCTCTTGTGGGGGCCAGGTTCTGGTTCTGGTCCCTGGTAGGCCTAGAACTCCTTCGATTGACTGTTGCCACGGTCTAATATATACACATCAACCCGGTATAGTTCCGGGGAGCCGAAGGGGCTCTCCACAGAAAATTTTTGTTTATATTAATATTATTATTCTCCTTTATTCTTATTGTTATTATTGTTATTATTGAGAAAATCCGTAGGAGCCGTGATGAGGGTTCGAACCTGTGTTGGGTATTCCCACGCACAGGCCCCAGGCAACTAGGGCCATGACAAGGTATACTAAAAGGATTGCAACCTGGAGTTCTACTGAGCTCACAAGGGTTTCCTGAGGTTTCCACTGAAGCTGGACCAGGATTTTCACACAATCCCCCCTGCACTCGACTGGCTCTGTCCTCAAGGAATGTACTACCTCTGACGCTCCTCTTTCAATACAGGTTGACTGCATCTATCTGGACCTAAAAAAGGCTTTCGACAGAGTTCCACATAAGAGGTTGTTCTGGAAACTGGAAAATATTGGAGGGGTGACAGGTAAGCTTCTAACATGGATGAAATATTTTCTGACTGATAGAAAAATGAGGGCTGTGATCAGAGGCAATGTATCGGAATGGAGAAATGTCACAAGTGGAGTACCACAGGGTTCAGTTCTTGCACCAGTGATGTTTATTATCTACATAAATGATCTACCAGTTGGTATACAGAATTATATGAACATGTTTGCTGATGATGCCAAGATAATAGGAAGGATAAGAAATTGAGATGATTGTCATGCCCTTCAAGAAGACCTGGACAAAATAAGTATATGAAGCACAACTTGGCAAATGGAATTTAATGTTAATAAATGTCATGTTATGGAATGTGGAATAGGAGAACATAGACCCCACACAACCTATATATTATGTGATAAATCTTTAAAGAATTCTGATAAAGAAAGAGATCTAGGGGTGGTTCTAGATAGAAAACTATCACCTGAGGACCACATAAAGAATATTGTGCAAGGAGCCTATGCTATGCTTTCTAACTTCAGAATTGCTTTTAAATACATGGATGGCGATATACTAAAGAAATTGTTCATGACTTTTGTTAGGCCAAAGCTAGAATATGCAGCTGTTGTGTGGTGCCCATATCTTAAGAAGCACATCAACAAACTGGAAAAGGTGCAAAGATATGCTACTAAGTGGCTCCCAGAACTGAAGGGCAAGAGCTACGAGGAGAGGTTAGAAGCATTAAATATGCCAAAACTAGAAGACAGAAGAAAAAGAGGTGATATGATCACTACGTACAAAATAGTAACAGGAATTGATAAAATCGACAGGGAAGATTTCCTGAGACCTGGAACTTCAAGAACAAGAGGTCATAGATTTAAACTAGCTAAACACAGATGCTAAAGAAATATAAGAAAATTCACCTTCGCAAATAGAGTGGTAGACAGTTGGAACAAGTTAGGTGAGAAGGTGGTGGAGGCCAAGACCGTCAGTAGTTTCAAAGCGTTATATGACAAAGAGTGCTGGGAAGACGGGACACCACGAGCGTAGCTCTCATCCTGTAACTACACTTAGGTAATAACTTAGGTAATTACAGAGTAATCACACTAACGTGATGTTAGTAATTTATGTCATCATGTTAGTGTGATTACTCTCTGTGTATTGAAATAGGAGCATCAGAGGTAGAACGTTCCTGGATGACAGAGCCAGAGTGCAAGGGGGGGAGAGGGATTGTGTGAAAATTCTGGTCCAGCTTCAGAGGAAGCCTCAAGAAACCCTTGTGAGCTCAGTAGAACTCAAAGTTTCAATAATTTTACCATGTCATGGCCTAGTTGAGTAGGGTGTGTGTGTGCTTGGGAACACCCACGATATAGGTTCGAACTCTTATCACGGCTCGTATGGATTTTCTCACTGACACATCACGTTAGTGTCATTACTCTGTGTATTATTATTATTATTATTATTATTATTACAGTATTATATTTAAACTTAGTTTCTAATAACCATGCTTATGTTTTAAGGCTAGGTTTAAGAAAATTTTTAATCTGAAAACATCGGTCTGGAGTAAAATTGACTCGGATCCAATAAATAAATAAATACTTAATGAAACAAATTCTAAATTATACACAGTGCAGAGATTTCACTGCAAAGATTGCAACTTTGTTATTTCCCAAAGTTCACAAAAAAATTATCATAATATATAATGAAAGAAAAACTAAATAACACATTTCTGAGAATGCCACTACTACTACTACTTACTGAAAAAGAACGACAGGATACTTTCTTCTTTGCATGAAGGCAGGTATACAAAGGCATAGGAACAACTCCTTGTACAAGTATTCGTTGTGATTCAGTCAATTTCTTGTGTTTTTGCTGAAATAAATGATTATTATAAAGATTATAATTTTGATTAAGGTTTCTAGATCATTATATAGTATTGCATAAACGATGTAAAAGGCAAACCTGTTAACTCAGGGCAACTGAACATCGACAGAAAAATTGTTACTATATTCATAGCTGGTCACAGGCAGCAAACACTTGTCCAGCAGGTACGATTTACAAACAAATACCAACTGATTAATTTCTGACAAATTAAACCAATATTTTGCTTGTTAATGCATGGATTTGCAGTCTGGAAGCACCAAGGCTAAAGTAAACTATGTTTATGTGCCAAGAACAAGGGTACAGTATACCTCTCTCTGGGTGTGTGTGTGTGTGTGTATTTTTATATATATACAGTATATATATATATATATATATATATATATATATATATATATATATATATATATATATATATATATATATATATATATATATATATATATATATATATATATATATATATATATATATATATATATATATATATATATATATATATATATATATATATATATATATATATATATATATATATACTGTATATATATAAAAATACACACACACAATATATATATATATATATATATATATATATATATATATATATATATATATATATATATATATATATATATATATATATATATATATATATATATATATATATATATATATATATATATATATATATATATATATATATATATATATATATATATATATATATATATATATATATCTTGTAGTGCATGCCTGCTTATATGAGCTGCACCATAGGTGGGGTGTGAGTGGATCACGTGATTATGGGCATGACCCCGCATGATAAGACCCACCCCTACAAATAACAGGGGTGTTATTTGTAATTTCCACATTCAATCTCAGAAATTTTCAATTATATTTTCAATCAACCATATTTTAGCATATGGTTAAGCAATCTGGTTTAGCATTTAGCACTCTGGTTAAGAAGTGCTACCTCTATGAATATAAAAATAATTTATAACTCCAAAAAATTTGTAAATGCTTTTAAACTTTGACAATTTTATTGAACATTGTAATAAATGTTTTAGTGACTACTAATATTAGAGAATAGAGTATATATTTGGAGGATACTGATTCAGACAATTTCTTCAAAACGTCAGATGTAACACAAACAAGGCGCAACAATTTCAAGCTCAACAAGCCACATTGTAGAGCTGAAATAAAAGTTGCTTTTTTACCCATAGGGCAATAAACACATGGAACTACCTGCCATAGCCTTAAACAATAAAACACTGCTTAATTTTAAAATTCAGTTTGAAAAAATCATCACGACAAATGGGGGACCTTTGGAAGCTGGCTTTGGCTTCCTATCCTCGTCGAGGCCAGTACAATGTTAGTGGCCCTCGGGTAAATTCAGGTAAATTCACATAAATTATAATATCCAATAAATCCTGAAAAAATGAGTGTAGTGATATAGCATAAATAAAAATAAAATTTTCAGTGAATCAAAGCAGTGGTGACAAAATTGGCTTCTGAGCATGACATTTTTTAATGTACAGATAGCCATGTGCTTTGCGAACACTGTCTATCCAAAAATGCTAGTTTCCCAATTGGGGTTGGTTCAGATACTCAAGTTCAAGAACAGCAAGATTCGCATAAAATGGTTCGGGTATCTCAGCAGCCAAGCGTCCACCAGGCAGGTGGTGGTGGTGGTGGGTGGGGGATGGGCCTAATTTGCCCACTGACCATGTAGGGCACCACTCTAGTGCCTTCTACCCTGTGACACCACAGATTCATGGCCCATTGTTCCCATTGTTTTGATCTGTCACGAGACTGAGTGTTCATACTGTGACTTTGTTGGATATGTTGTCACAATCTAGGAACATCCCCACACCATGTCTGCTCCAAATGCATGCATTGTGTCAGTGAAAGCTTCAACAAGAAGGATACATAAAAGAAAGAGGTCAGTGATGACATTTGAGAAGAAAGTTTAAATAATTATGAAGGTGGAGAGCAGAGTCCTGAAAAGTGACGTGTAAACTGAATATGGCATTAGCAAGAGTATTGTTTTTAATCTTTAGGCTAAACCTATCATTTTTTACTATTTCTCTAGAAGTGAAAGTGATAAGGCAATACAAAATAGAAAGGTAGTAAGTAAAGCATAAGTGGATAGTGTTGATAATGCAGTGTGGTAGTGGTACAAACAGAAGTGTGAGGAGCAATATTTCAGCAATATTTTGAAGGCATTCTGGCCTTTATGGAAACAAGTAACAGTGACTTTGAAACTAAGGACATGATAACCTTTACAATTTGTATATGAAGTTTTTGAAAACAAGAGCAAAGGAAATGAAACAAATATCAATTAAAGAGCCTTTTGCAAAGGCTTCCAAGAAAGCTCATATTGCCCCACCTGCATTTGACTCATCACATGTTAACTCAAATGCTTCAACTTCTGAGGCTACCTTATCACCATTAATTTTCACTTCAGTTAACCCAACACCATCAATATCCACCACCATCTCTTCCATGTAAATGACAATGATCCATCAACAATGATAATCAAGATAGCAAGTGGATCAGGACTTCTCGTATTGGTGACTACGTACAAACAAAATACTGTACTGTCAAATTTATGCTATGAACTTGTCAATTTTTTCCACGAGATTTTAAGACCACTTATACAAACACAACAGGTTAACGAAAGGTCTCAGCCCCGAGGGGTGCGTGCAGCACGTGGTTATCTGTACCAGACCAACAGTATAGCAAGAAGAGTTTCTTTACTATATTTCCTATTCTTATCCTATAACTTTACAGAGAAAAATATATTAGTTTTCTGCTCATTAAGAGGTGATGTATTTAATCAAAGCTGCAAGTGAAGGAATAAAATAGCACAATACAGTACATTATTAGGTACTAAGAAAATACAAAAACAACAAACAAAAATTAATTACCCCTTTGAGAAGAACGTCTCCAAGCAGATGGCCAAAAAAATCTGTAAAGGACACAGGCTGACCCTGCTTATATTTGGCAACCATACTGGCTACATATGCAGGTGCATGGAGAAGCTGCCACTTCCAATCCTTGGTGACAGATTCACGAAGTTCCTTCTGTATTTGAGCATGTGTTACATCAGGAAAGGAATCATGTGAATACAGCGTAGAGATGTACCTGGTGAATATATAAAATGTGAGATAATAAGACTGAAGGTTCACACAACAGTTTCATTGCTATACTGTACTTGCATAGCCAATAATGACTAACCATCATATAATACCATCTTCTCAAACTATCAATACAAATACAAAAAGTTAATTTTATAAAATAAAGCAAACTGAAGGAAATGTAATATAAAGCTTACAGAGAAACAATTACTATATAAAAAATATACATTTGGTCTTAAAAGCTTTTAAATGTTATGAGAAAACAGAATATGTTGCCATTGGGCCACTTGCAATTTCTTGCTTCAAAGAGTATCTTTGAAAATACCAAACTGCAGTTCACAGTGTGCATATATGTACATAAGGTATATACTGTATATGATACTGTGTCTATAATGTTTTTAGTTTGTTTTCTTGCTTTCCTAAAATAAATTGAGCTAAAAAAAAGTAAGCACAGCATAAGAAATATAAAATGACTGAAAGCATTAGCGAAGGAAGTAAAATTCTGAAGAGATTTGTATAATACTGCTGCTATATTGAACTGTACCTATAAACAAAGGCTTGACTCTAAAATAAAACATAAAAATGCCCATTATAGGTACAGTATTTCCAGTACAGTACTGAGAATCCAGTTTGCAACTACAGATAAAATAGAACATCATGCTAGCAACAGTATTACAAACCAAGTATGAATAAATATTATAGCTATAGTGCTGGAGAAGTTTGAGGTACTGATGTTTTAACGAATATCTCATCACTCAAAAACAAATTAACACTGCTCACATGTCCATAGAAACTGAAATTCACTGCTGTAATTTTAGGTTTGGAAAGCATGACTTTTGAATCAGTAAAGGCTTACCATGAAGAACCAGAGAGTCCTGTGATGTATGTGGCACAGTCCAGGATGCCAGACTCCTGAAGGGCCTTCACTGCACCACTGAGACACGTCATGGCACGAAACCCACCACCAGATCCGAGAACACCAATAATGGGAACCTTGAATGAAATAAAGACGTGATTTTACACGTAGAATATGACATAGTTGCCTAGGAAGCAAGGTTTCAAAAGGAGTAAAGTATAAGTTTTGTGTATAAATTTTTCTTAGAGGTGATCACTTATCTTTCAATATACATACAGTGGAACATACAGTGGAACAGTGTATACAGTGTTAACCTCTGGTTAATACTATATAAACAGTGTGTGTGTGTGTGTGTAATTACCTAAGTGTAGTTACAGGATGAGAGCTACGCTCGTGGTGTCCCGTCTTCCCAGCACTCTTTGTCATATAACGCTTTGAAACTACTGACGGTCTTGGCCTCCACCACCTTCTCACTTAACTTGTTCCAACCGTCTACCACTCTATTTGTGAAGGTGAATTTTCTTATATTTCTTCGGCATCTGTGTGTGTGCGTGTGTGTGTGTATACAGTGGAACCTCGGGTTAACAAATACCCTTCTTTCCAAATTTTTTGGTTTTCAAGCTCAATTTCTTCTTTAATTTGACTCGGTAATCAAGGTTTGCATTACTTCTCGAGTTTGTTGATACACGTATGGGTCGACCAAGCACGTGGAGCGCCTCTGTTTACCAGTGTATTCCATCTAGTGACGACCGTGCTTGAATTCTTTGTGAAGAATTTAATTGTTTTTGTGCTTATTGGTTTCTGAACATAAAAGTAATTATTATATATCAAGCCATGGGGTCCCCAAAAAATCAGTGGTAAAGTTCAACTAAGAAAATAGTTGTGAGGATGACAATAGAGGAAAAACAATAGATCATTCATAGTGAATGTTATGTCTCACTACAGACAAATTTTAAAACATAGGGAAAAAAGTGTCTTTAGACAGATTCTTATTAAGGCAAGCAAGCAGTGAGTAATAACCAGGTCCTGGTGGTATGCCTGAAAAACGAAGGAGAAAGAATACCCCAGAAAAGTCATCACTGCCTGATGTTATAATGGAAGGGGACTCCCCTTCCAAACAGTAACACCTCTCCGCCTCCCTCCTCCTCACCATCTTCCATACACCAACAGCAGTCATCAGCAAGGGTAAGTAATAACTTGAACATACTTTTGTAGTGTAGATTTAGATGAATTAGGTATAAAATTTAGTTTGAAGTGAGGTTTTTGGGTAGTCAGGAACAGATTAATTCATTTCCCTTTATTTCTTATGGGGAAACTAGCTTTGGTTTACGAGTTTTCGGATTACGAGCTGTCTCCTGGAATGGATTAAACTCTTAAACTGAGGTACCCCTGTAATAATCTTGGATTTTTTTCTAAGAAATAAAAGAAAATATTTTCCACACAAATCATTTTGAACTCAAGGGCACTCAGTAGAATGCTTATCTCTGCACAGGGCAATACAACCCTCAACACCAATAGGGACTAAAGAGTCAAAGTTCAACCCCTGCAAGCACAACTAGGCGAGTACCATGCCTTTTTCAACCCTCATTTAAACCATTCTTGATTCATCACCATGCTTATGATAATAAATTTGACTGGAGCCCTTTCAAAATTTTTATAGCTTTTTAATATAACATTTATTTAACTGCTGCACTGCGCACCTTTTATAATGACATTCCCGTGGTGCACCAAAAATAAATTGTTCCAAAAACTATTTTTTTTATATTGTTAATTAGCACAAAAATCCAAGTAAAAAGTCTTTTCCTATTGTAGTTTAGCTGTAGTGGCCTGGAGAAGTTGCGTGTTTTTGGTAAAAATGAGGCAAGTTGCCACATGGGAATAACTTTGTCAATTTATTTTCAATGTTTTTCATTTTATTCATTTAGTTTTTTCTCTAACAAGTTGTATCTGTGTCAAAGATTATACCCTGTGTACAGGAGTCATAGCAGACGTGTGGAAACAGGCTAACATAGTTCCAATCTACAAAAGTGGCAGCAGGGAAGACCCCCCTCAATTATAGACCTGTATCATTGATAAGTGTAATAGTGAAAGTATAGGAAAAACTAATCAAAACTAAATGGGTAGAACACCTGGAGAGAAATGATATTATATCAGACAGACAGTATGGTTTTCGATCTGGAAGATCCTGTGTATTGAATTTACTCAGTTTCTATGATCGAGCCACAGAGATATTACAGGAAAGAGATGGTTGGGTTGACTGCATCTATCTGGACTTTTTTCTAAAAAAGGCTTTCGACAGAGTTCCACATAAGAGGTTGTTCTGGAAACTGGAAAATATTGGAGGGGTGTCAGGTAAGCTTCTAACATGGATGAAAAATTTTCTGACTGATAGAAAAATGAGGGCAGTAATCAGAGGCAATGTATCGGACTGCAGAAATGTCACAAGTGGAGTACTACAGGGTTCAGTTCTTGCACCAGTGATGTTTATTGTCTACATAAATGATCTACCAGTTGGTATACAGAATTATATGAACATGTTTGCTGATGATGCTAAGATAATAGGAAGGATAAGAAACTTAGATGATTGTCATGCCCTTCAAGATGACCTGGACAAAATAAGTATATGAAGCACCACTTGGCAAATGGAATTTAATGTTAATAAATGTCATGTTATGAAATGTGGAATAGGAGACCATAGACCCCACACAACCTATATATTATGTGAGAAATCTTTAAAGAATTCTGATAAAGAAAGAGATCCAGGAGTGGTTCTAGATAGAAAACTATCACCTGAGGACCACATAAAGAACGTTGTGCGAGGAGCCTATGCCACGCTTTCTAACTTCAGAATTGCTTTTAAATACATGGATGGCGATATACTAAATAAATTGTTCACGACTTTTGTTAGGATTACTACGTACAAAATAGTAACAGGAATTGATAAAATTGATAGGGAAGATTTCCTGAGACCTGGAACTTTAAGAACAAGAGGTCATAGATTTAAACTAGCTAAACACAGATGCTGAAGAAATATAAGAAAAATCACTTTCGCAAACAGAGTGGTAGACGGTTGGAACAAGTTAGGTGAGGTGGTGGAGGCCAAGACCGTCAGTAGTTTCAAAGCGTTATATGACAAAGAGTGCTGGGAAGACGGGACACCACAAGCGTAGCTCTCATCCTGTAACTACACCTAGGTAATTACACACACACACAGACACACACACACTGTATTCTCCCAATCTGTTTCTGATGTTCCTCTCTAAATATCAAATTTCAACTTTACCTGTCTTTCTGTGTCTGGTGCTTTTGTTCCCAATACTTTCTGCATTGCAAGTAGGACTTTCTTCCGACGGATTTGAAGGAATTCTTTTTCTTCTTTACACAGTGCAAGAGAGAAACGAAGATCGGGTGTTTTACTGCAAAAATATACCATCTTTATTCATAAATTCAACACAAACCTACTTTTATAAATTACATTTTTATGAACTGAATTCCTATCTTTTAATAATGTAAAGCAGTGATTCCCAACGTTTCTGAACTCTTGGGCCTATTTACAAATACAGTATTCAAAAGACCTTAACACCCCCTGCGACACACTGAACAATATTGAGGGTTGAGAGCCACAAAACTAACAATACCACAAACCAGAAATGACAGGGCTGATCTCATCGAAACTTTAAAACTACTGTACTGAACAATCTGGAGAATAATGATCTACATTACCTCTTTGAAAGGTTACATGTAGCATATACAAGGAGCAACAGCTTCACGCATAACAAGCCAGTGTAGGATGAAAATAGGAGATGCTTTTTCATCCCTAGGATTATAAACCCATGTAATCGCCTACCACGAAGCCGTAAATGCCAAGACATTGCTACAGTTCAAAATTAAGCAGGATAAAATCATCAGGAAAAATGGGGGACCATTGACAAACCACCGGTTTTCTGTTCATGTCAAGGCCACTAGAGAGATGGTGGCCATCAAGTAAACTCAGGAATAATACAGGCTTTTGTGGTACAAGTGGGTTAGTTTTCAATTCACAGTTTTGGATCAATATTCAATATTCGGGTTCAATATTCTGGTGGGACAGAAATGGGTGGGCATGTTTCCTTTTGCCTAATGCCTCTATTCCACCTAGCAGTAAATAGGTACCTGGGTGTTAGGCAACTGTAGTAAGTTGCATCCTGGGAAAGGTCAGTAGTTAAACCTTCGGGGTACCTCAATGCAAATCAAATGTATATACTGTATAAGTAAATATAAATATATATATATATATATATATATATATATATATATATTTGAGTGAGGTGGGAAGGGTGATGTGGCATTACATTTGAGTAAGGTGGGAAGGATGATGTGGCATTAGAGGATATTAATAGGGTATTAAAAGTATCAACACAAGACAGAACACGAGACAATGGATATTGAATAGAAGTGTTTGTAGAAAGCCTATTGGTCCATATTTCTTGATGCTTCTATATTGGAGCGGGGTCTTGAGGTGGGTAGAATATAGTTGTGCAATAATTGGCTGTTGATTGCTGGTGTTGACTTCTTGATGTGTAGTGCCTCGCAAATTACCATTGCGAGGCACTACACATCAAGAAGTCAACACCAGCAATCAACAGCCAATTATTGCACAACTATATTCTACCCACCTCAAGACCCCGCTCCAATATAGAAGCATCAAGAAATATGGACCAATAGGCTTTCTACAAACACTTCTATTCAATATCCATTGTCTCGTGTTCTGTCTTGTGTTGATACTTTTAATACCCTATTAATATCCTCTAATGCCACATCATCCTTCCCACCTTACTCAAATATATATATATATATATATATATATATATATATATATATATATATATATATATATATATATATATATATATATATATACATATATATATAATACATGGATGTATAAATTACATCCATGGGTAGGTTGGTTGGAATATGGGTTCGAATCACTTCTGGGGTGTGAGTTTTCAGACGCATATAGTCCTGGGGACCATTTAGGCTTGTTCGCATTTGTGTTCCTCACGTGTGCCCCAAAGAATGAGGCGAGTTGATAAAATGCTATGCCCAAGATTACCATCCGAGTTGCCGGCGGGGAAGTGGTTCAAATAGCTTCGACTATCACTTCCTTTTGTCCGGCTGTGATGGTTAAGCGGATTAAGGTGCCCTGTAGTTACCAGTTGCGTTGCTCCTGGGAGTATGGGTTCGAGTCACTTCTGGGGTGTGAGTTTTCAGACGCATATAGTCCTGGGGACCATTCAGGCTTGTTCGCATTTGTGTTCCTCACGTGTGCCCCAAAGAATGAGGTGATTTGATAAAATGCTATGCCCAAGATTACCATCCGAGTTGCCGGCGGGGAAGTGGTTCAAATAGCTTCGGCTATCATTTCCTTTTGTCCGGCCGTGATGGTCAAGCGGCACACGCTATACTAAATATGTTACGATTCCATTTCAATGTTTCCGATTTCATTGATAAATTGAATTTTCATAGATTTTTATTTATTTTTATTTTTATTTAATTATTTTGTATGACATTGCGTTGGAAATGAGCTGTAATGTTTACCTTACCATTCATTTTGTGAGTATAATTTATTTTTTATTTTTTCATTGTTTTTCATTTGTTTTTAACTGTTTTTCGTATATTTCAGTGATGGGAACATCAGATCATTTGATGTTCCCAATTTTTTTATGGGAACATCAGATCATTTGGGAATGCATCAGAGGAGGGAGTAGGGAATGGTGGGGAGAACGAGGGAGTAGGGAATGGTGGGGAGGACGAGGGGATGGGAGTGACGGATGGTGGGGAGGACAAGGGGACATGGGAGGGGGTAATGGTTGGGAGGATGAGGAGATGGGGGTGTTGGGGACGAGGGGACAGGGGAATGGAGAATGGTGGGGACAAGGGGACAGGGGAATGGAGAATGGTGGGGAGGACAAGGGGACGGGGAAGTAGGAGATGGTGGGGGAGGACAAGGGGATGGTGGAGTGGGGAAAGGTTAGGAGGACGAGGGGACGATGGAGTGGGGAAAGGTTAGGAGGACGAGGGGACGGTGGAGTGGGGGATGATGGGGAGGACAAAGGGACAGGGGAGGGTGGGAGGGAATGGTGGGGAGGACGAGGGGACGGGGGAGTGGGGAATAGTTGGGAGGATGAGGAGATGGGAGAGTGAGGAATGGTTGGGAGGACAAGAGGACAGGGGAAGGGGGGAATGGTGGGGAGGACTGGAAGATAGGGGAAGGTTGCTGTGTATCAGCAATGCACATGCATTGCTGAGCCACAGCAACGTGTGGCCGGGTACAGTAGTAAATAAATAAATAAATAAATTTAATATAATTTAAGTATTTCATTTGTGTCACTTACTTTTTCTGTAGCTTAAGAAGTGTGTGTACTTTAGAGCCACCGGGGAAGACAAATGTGTGTTTAGTGGGAATATCATTAGTTAACTCATTGACACAGAACGAGTCTTCACCAAGAGTTTCATCCAATGTGTAGTTGGCATCCATCAATACCACCTCTGTAATTGAAGGAATTACAAATATAATCAGTCTTTTATTTCATATTTTCCATTATGAATAATAATAATAATAATAATAATAATAATAATAATAAATAATAATAATAATAATAATAATAATAATAATAATAATAAATAATAATAATAATAATAATAATTAATAATAATAATAATAATAATAATAATAATAAATAATAATAATAATAATAATAAATAATAATAATAATAATAATAATAAATAATAATAATAAAATCAAAATGAGGTCTAAATGCTTTCATACAGTAATCCAGATGGGGGAGCATTAGAGAATTATACAGTTGCACCATTACCTTTTTTACCTTATAGACAAAAGTACGCTTGCTTATTCCTAGAGTTTGGTTAGCTTTTGTGACTGCTGCACCCACCTGTTGTGCAACTCTTAATGAGTGGTGGATTTTGACTCCAAGGTCCTTTTCTTCATCAATCTGCTGTTCTGTAATGCTATTAATTTGGTAGTCGCCTTTTTGGTGACAAAAAGCGGGTAGATCCCAAAATGGAACCTTTTGGCACCCCATTTATCACATTTCTCCATTCAAATTCGTTGCCATCTAACACGACCCTTTGTTTTCTTTCCTTCAATTATTGTTTTATCCATTCTAATATTTTACCATTTATTCCATGGAGTGCGAAAAGATACATGGAATTCAGAAACAATTCTATAACCAATGTTCCAACGATGTGTAAATGTTTCATTCAAAATGATTTGCTACTAGAAATTTTAGCAAAATATCCCCAGTTTGCTAACTGTAGGTAGTAACTAAGTGATTGTAACCTATCCACCACTGCCCACTGGATGGGGGGGGGGGCGGTGTGCAGGACAAACATATCAATTGTGACACTAGCTCTCCACATAATAATAATAATATAATAATATATTATTATTATTATGTGGAGAGCTAGTGTCAGTTGCTTAATTTAGAAATTGTACTTGTGGTCGATCTCGAACCCATTGTTGATGTGACGACTTATACTGAATTTTGTAACTAGCTCATCAAGATTGTAACTTGCTTAGCTAAATGAATTGTGGGGTTCAGTCCCTGAGCCCATTATGTGCCTCTGTAACCCTTTCCACTACCGCCCACAAGATGGGTATGGGGTGCATAATAAATGAACTAAACTAAACTATTCCATGGGCCTGTAATTTCCTTGCCAGTCATTCATATGGTACCTTATCAAAAGCTTTAGCAAAATCCATGTAATTCATGTATAACATAGGACAAAAACCTACACAGAAAAAAACAGGGGGCAGCACCACTGCAGGTCTCATGGCAAAGATGAGATAACAGGTCACAACAGACAATATATCTGGCAGCCAGGACCTTGTTTGATTCCCAAACGCACCCAATAAGGGGAAGAAGAACCGAACTCAAAGGAAGCCGGATCCATTAAAGAGGCATAAACCGGGTCTCAGGTACACACCAAGGGCCTCCTGAACCTCCGCCAAGGAAATCAGAGAGGAAGGAAACCTCCGGAAGGGCATATCCGAGGAACCCAAAGGTACCCAGAAAAGAACCTGGAGGGGGGAGGGGGAGCCGCACCCAACTCAGAATCATATAGAGACGGAGGATACGAAAACCCACGGCCCTGAAACAACAAACCCCGCTCAGAAGGCACAAAAGCCCAGGCAGGATGGGCTTTTGTGCCCATATCACTCCAAGCGGATTCCCCCCTCCTCAACCAACCCTTGGAACTCCCAACATAGTACCCGGAGCAGAGCCCATATCCAGCCCAGAACTCTTGAAGAAAAGGCAAAGTCCAAGGGAAAAGCATCAAAGAGAGGAGCCTGCTGGGCCAACTTCGAAGCTTCGGCGAGGAAATCGGGCTCAACTTCCGTCCCTGAGTTAGAAGGGGCAACCCCCGAAGCCACCCGAGCCTTATCACAAGTTAAACCCTGCCCCTGCCCAGAAACCCTCAGACATTTAGGAGGCGGAAGCAGGAGGAGAGCAAGGCGAACAACACCCACCTGGGAAGGAAGCAAGGGTGCAGATGGAGCCAAGGTTGAAGTAACCAATACCCCTAAATCCTGGACCATAAATTCTAAATGGGGCAGCTCCGGGGCTTCCAAACGAGCAACCAACCTGGCCCATTGCAACACAGAATACCTAGCATGCAACCAACCCACTCCCTACCCGGGGCAAGACAGGAAGTCCATGATCCCTGGCGAACCCCAAGGGTGAAAAGGGTCGTGGTAGAAGTGGAAAGACTCGTCCCAAATGGGGCTGGTGCAGATAAAATACTTACTTAAGTTGTGTTCTTTAGAAGGGTCGAGGTAGAAGTGAAAAGACTCGTCCCAGATGGGATTGGTGCAGTTGTCCACATGACTGGTTCTTTTGGAGGAGTTTGAGCTCCCAGGAATCTTGAGTATAACATATGGATCTGGAGTGTCCACTAAAACAAAAACAAATACTGACATGACAATCAGCTTAAAATACATCATGTTAGTTTGTCTCAGCAACGATTTGTTACCTAATTATCAAAGCTAATCTTATTAAAGGTACTACACTGATTAATGTTCTTTGAATTGGAAGGTATAATCTTAACTAAATGCTTAATACTGTGATTAAAATTCCTTAAGGTGAAAGACAGTTTCAATAGGAATGCTTATTTTCCAACTCCATGATTATACCCACTTTATACTTAATAATTTGCATATTCTTAAAAAACCTACGTAGAAAACATAATTCAGCTTTCATCCCCCCATGAAATTTAATTCTTCATTCCAAGACAATATTATTGTCAAACTCATTTTTATTACTTTCTTGATTGCCAGGTGTTAGTTCACGAGATGATATAATTCCCTACTTACTGAGGTCTTGCAGAGTGCTGCCTTTGGTGATGGATTCTCCACGTTCAATTTTGATCTCAAAGTCCAAACACGCCTCATGTTCAACCTGGGGAAGACCACGTGATGGTTTATATCAGGGTCACCTGTCAAGTGTTACGAATGTACATCTAATTCCTCTTCACGAGGTCACCTGTGAGTTGCTACAAATGTACACCTGATGGCTCATCTTCACTTGTGAATTGTTACGGCTGTACACCTGACTCCTCTTTGCGAGGTCACTTGTGAGCTGCTACGAATGTTCATCTGACTTCTTTAAGAGACCACCTGTGAGTTGTTATGAATGTACATATGACTTCTGAATGTTAGTACTGAGGCTTCGGAATCTTCTCAGTTTTCCTAATGCTGCTTTGGCTTTGTTTAGTCGGTCCCTTACATGAATTTGTATCCCTGTTCTATTTATCATAAGTCCCAGTATTCTGCCTACCTCCGCATATTGAATCGGATGGTTGTCAAGGATGATGGGGTCCGGGTTTCTTTTCGCAATGTGTATTATCTGAAACTTTTGTTTGTTGGTGCTAATTTTCCATTGCTTCTCAAAGTTGTTTATGAGTTCAATTGCTGCCTTGGTCTAGTCGGCTAGTAGCGGCTTTGATGGTCCCGATTGGCATATTATTTGGGTGACATCGTCAGCGTATGTGATGTATTCTCTATTTTGGGGTTGGGGTAGGTCAGCTGTATATATGTTGAATAGAGTGGGGGAGAGGCAGGTTCCTTGTGGTACTCCACTTTTCAGTTCTATTACGTCACCCAAGTAGCTGGACCCAAGTTGTGGATGTTCATGCGGTGCAGTATGTGGTGGTGCGTGGTCCGATACCCCCCATCCCCGGTGGTCGAGGTGGCTGCGGTGTTACGTGACCGTGTGCCGAGGTCTTCCCGGGGTTCTGCTGTGACGCTTGTGGAGGAGGTTGACAGTTAAGATGATTTGCGGCCGGTTCCGAAGCGTACGAGGCGGGCTCTCATTTTGTCTCCTCGTGGTGTCGCCTGGGTGGACGTGGGGGTCTTCGCGGATTCGTTTTCTACCGAGGATATTAATATTAACGTTGTTATAGATTCACCTACTGGGAACAAAAAGTTACAAGTAGCACGGACTATGGTGAACCCGTAGTGGACTTACCTGGCACAGGAGCGGGGCTGTAACTGTGATTGAATTGATGTGATGCTGCTACGTTCCTGATTGGCTTATATCCACGCTTCACCTCACACTGTGCTGTACAGTGTGCTTCACCTCACACTGTGTTGTACAGTGTGCTTCACCTCACACTGTGCTGTACAGTGTGCTTCACCTCACACTGTGCTGTACAGTGTGCTTCACCGCACACTGTGTTGTACAGTGTGCTTCACCGCACACTGTGTTGTACAGTGTGCTTCACCTCACACTGTGTTGTACAGTGTGCTTCACCACACACTGTTAGTTTTCTTAAGAGATTTGTGGAAACTTTGATGAACATGTATTTATTTAACTGAAAACTCCACACCCCAGAAGTGACTCGAACCCGGACTGCCAGGAACATTTATACTATTACAGATGTCATTAATGTGATCACAAATGCCATTAATAATTAGTGAATATACCTGCAAGTGTCATTTATAATTATGGTGAAGTTATTGGAGATATATTAACGTTATTGGAGATATATTAGAGATTATTAACGTGGTATGCTTCAGAGTCATCAGTTATTGCCATAGGTCTCACGCCTCAGGTTATAAGTGCTATAAAAAGCTCGAATATGTAATTATCTGTTTTACGGGCTACTCATGCCCGTGCCACCTCTTGGGCAGCTTAATCTTCATTATCAATTATCTGTTGATATTTCATATGGTTTTAAAAAACAATTCACCTCAAAAATGACATTTATTCACGCAGAACGTTTGTGGATAAGAACGTTTGTGACCTCAGCATTTACTGTCCAAGACGGACCGAAATGTAGTCACTTCCTTTCGTCTGTGAGGGTTGGATGTCATGTTTTCAGCAACGTTTTTGTGATTAAACGTCTGCAGCAGATATATTATTCAGTACCGGACGCCTCCAACATTACTCCAGTGTTTTTTTATAGTCATACCGACTTAGCACAATCCAGATAATTTCCTTACCTTAAGCTCAAATAAATTTGTGTTACAACCCTGAACCATTTGTTCGGGTCTTAATCTTTCCACAATCGCTCACGGGATGGGCACGGGGGTGCCTGTGTAGCCTCCGGTGCTCACAGAGTATAGGTATGGAGTGCCTCTGTACTCCCGGTCCTCTCCAGTGGTCACGTCTCAAAAATTATGTTCTGAACTGCCCGAACATAACTTAACCGAGGACCCATGAACAGAAAACGTGATAGCTCGTCAATTTGGTGAGCCACTATGATATATCAACCCGTCCTCTTAAAAATAACGTCACTTTTGGTTCGTATGCGCGCTATGGCCAAATTTGGACGTAATTTGAAATAAAATCGACTCACAAAAGTGACGTACTGTTCCGTTTTCTGTTCGAGTCGTCCGGCTTACTCGGCAAGCTTAGAAGAGGATTCTTTCCATTAACGGATATATAGTGTACATCATATTTTGGCCGTTAGGGATTTATTCTCCAACATGAGATGTATATTCTAATGAGAGGTTGTTTCCCTCTTTACTTCTCCACAACCGCTCACAGGATGAGTACTGTGTAATATATGCGGTAAAAGATCTTCTATATCATCTACAGATTCAGGAGCTAGATTGACTCAAACTTCCTTTGAACACGAGGCTTTTACTGCAGGAATCTGATTTCTACAACTTTTTATTGATAGAAAACAGCCCATCCACCTGTTTTTGTAGTACTTCTAGCAAGGATGAGGACCATAGTACATATACCGACGTACAGCACAATTAGAAATTTCAAATCGGAACTATTGAATTTGGAAGAACCGGAAAACGATTTTCTATTTATGCTGTAAAGATACACGCTATCTAAGACCTTATATAGTACATATGGGTGCTATACTAGGCCTAGGAATATTTACGTTCGATTTTTAGCTTAATTTTTTCTGACTATAAAGTGAATAGTACAAAATTCTACTATTTAATTGCTTAGCACGGCAAAGCTTCTACTTTAGTGCCCCTTAGTTACAAAAAGTAGCATCTAAATAGGAGGAAGGGTTGTATTAAACTATCTTTATGTAACAATAATTTGCGAATTGACCTGTTTCATCAAATACGTGTAGGTTTTAGGCCAGACTGAAGCAAAGTGCAGTGAGTGGGAGCAGGGACACCAAGATAAATCTCGAACAGCTCCTCACTACACATTTTACCCTAACCAAACAGGTCCTATAATTCACAACCACAAAAAAAAAAAATCAGACACAGCTACAAAAAATCAACTACTTTCGAATATGTGTTAAGATCACACACAGAAATCACAATTGCGTGGTGCATCAAATGAACAAATCCACAAGGGCCGTGACGGGGATTCGAACCTGCGTCCGAGAGCATCCCAGACGCTGCCTTAATCGACTGAGCTACGACATGGTAAAAGGAGTTGAAACCAAAGTTCTACTAAACTTACTGGATCCTGCAGCCTCTCCGAGGCACAAACCAGGGTTTGTGCCTCTCCTTTTGACCATGTCGTAGCTCAGTCGATTAAGGCAGCGTCTGGGATACTCTCGGACGCAGGTTCGAATCCTTGTCACGGCCCTTGTGGATTTGTTCATGTGTCAAGATGGTCAAATACACATTCTGGCAGTTTTACCCGAATTACAAATTTCTGATGCTTTTAGAGTGTCAGGTGAGTCCACAAGGTTGTTGTCCCATGTCTCCCACTGACTCATTGATTATTACATGCACAGCCTCGACTCAGGTGGCTGCCATAGCTCGCTGTTCTTCACAGGAACGGCTCTCATATATGAAAGTATGCAAAAGCTGCTTGCTGTTTTATTTGATTTTTTTTAAATATTACGTGCTTCATTCCCATCGGGTGGGAGATCATGACTCGGTTACAGAGGCCCGCAATGTGCTCACACAGCAATAATATTCTTTTAGCACGATATAACTGTGTCTTGCTAAGCAAGACACAGCGATGGCGAACTAGTTCCAATATAAGGATTATTGTGCATCAGTTTAACTGAGCACATTATCTGTTTTCAAAGGGAGAGCGTACATTGTATCCAGTGAAGTTGGAATATTTGTTAGATTAATTATATTTAACCCTTCATTAGACACGACTAGGGATCGAACACTGGCGGCACAGCTAATTAGCTAATTGAGTATGTGTCACATCCACACTGAGAAGTTTTGGATCTGGAAGATCTATCACTGAGCCTCCAGCAAGCATGGGGGGTAGAAATAGCCTAAGCTACTCTATCCCTTTGAGATGTATTTCTTGCTTATCTCAATAAACATACTTGAACTTGAACTTGATCCAGCAAGCATGCGTGAAGCACTGTAAATCCATCTCTTATATCAATATTTATTTATGACTGACATGACAGCTTGTATATGCTATTTGTTTTACATAACCACTTCCTTATTCTTTCATTCCAATTTAATAATAAGAGTCAAAGTTTGAAGTAGGGTTGAATTATGCACTTACTGCTGCTTCCTCACTACCTTAAACATTTTCTAAAGGTAATTCTATAATTCAATTGTATGATAAGATACAGCTATACAACGTAGTCTAATTTTGAGCTGGTGGCTTCCTGAACTTTATTTATGTATACAATAAAATATAATAAATTGGTCCATACTTACTTCAAAAACTTGAAACGGATCGAACCTGAAAAAAATAAAAAATATATATATAGAGATAGTCTGTGAACAAATGAAAATGACCATTAATAGTAAAAATTCATGAAATAGTATACTCTAAGTCTGTATTCGCTCAGTGAAGTAGGCCTATGTGTGTTATGAACTACACATGTACACCAGTGTGCGAACAATCCTGAATGGTCAGTGTATGTGTTAAGATATAACCAGTGTATGTGTTAAGATAAGAACTACACACACACACACACACACAAGTTAACGGATGGAATGCATTAGGGGGTGATGTGGTGGAGGCTGACTCCATACACAGTTTCAAGTGTAGATATGATAGAGCCCAGTAGGCTCAGGAACCTGTACACCTGTTGATTGACAGTTGAGAGGCGGGACCAAAGAGCCAAAGCTCGACCCCCGAAAGCACAAATAGGTGAGTACAGGGGCCGGCCGGCCGGCCAGCACGCTGGACATGTGATCCTTTGGTCCCGGGTTCGATCCCGGGCGCCGGCGAGAAACATTGGGCAGAGTTTCTTTCACCATATGCCCCTGTTACCTAGCAGTAAATAGGTACCTGGGAGTTAGTCAGCTGTTACGGGCTGCTTCCTGGTGTATGTGTGTGTGTGTGTGTGTGATGTGAAAAAAATAGTACTAGTTAGAAACAGTTGATTGACAGTTGAGAGGCGGGCCGAAAGAGCAGAGCTCAACCCCCGCAAGCACAACTAGGTGAATACAACTAGGTGAGTACAACTAGGTGAATACACACACACACACACAAGAAGCCTTCTTGCTGGAAGAAGGCAAATGTTGTACCAATTTTCAAGAAAGGAGATAGGGAGGAGGCACTTAACTATAGACCTGTATCAATGACAAGCATCCCCTGTAAAATACTTGAAAGAATAATTAGGCTAAGACTGGTTGCACACCTGGAGAACATTAGGTTTGTGAACAAACATCAACATGGGTTCTGGAAAGAGAAATCATGCCTAACAAACCTTTTGGATTTCTATCATAAAATAGCAAGGATAAAGTAGGACAGAAGGATGGGTAAACTGCATATTTCTAGACCAAAAATATTTCAAAGTCAAAAAGCCTTTGATACAGTACCGCACATGAGACTGCTATTCAAACTTGAGAGGCAGGCAGGAGTAAGCGGAAAGGCCCTAGCATGGGTAAGGAACTACCTAACAGGAAGGAGCCAGAGAGTAACGGTAAGGGGCGAGAGGTCAGACTGGCGAACAATAATGAGTGGAGTACCTCAAGGATCAGTGCTGGGACCAATCCTATTTCTAATATACGTAAATGACATGTTTACAGAAGTAGAATCCAACAAGTCGATGTTCGCGGATGACGCAAAATTAATGAGAAGAGTTGTGATAGATGAGGATTGTAGGATCCTCCAAGAGGACTTGAACAGGTTGAAGAGATGGTCAGAGAAATGGCTACTGGAGTTCAACATGAGTAAATGTAAAGTTATGGAAATGGGATCAGGTGATAGGAGACCAAAGGGACAGTACACAATGAAGAGGAACTGCCTACCTGTGACGATTCGAGAAAGAGACCTGGGAGTGGACGTAACACCTAATCTATCTCCTGAAGCCCATATAAATAGGATAACGACAGCAGCGTACCCCTACACTGGCAAACGTTAGAACATCATTCAGAAACCTAAGAGAGGAGGCTTTTAGGGCGTTTTACACTGCCTACGTGAGATCAGTCTTAGAGTATGCCTCGCCATCATGGAACCCCCACCTGAAGAAACATATAAAGAAACTGGAAAAGATTCAGACGTTTGCGACGAGGCTTGTCCCAGAGTTACGAGGGATGGGATATGGAGAGCGCCTGAAGGAACTGAACTTTACGACACTAGAAAAAAGGAGGGAGAGAGGGAATATGATAGCAACATATAAAATACTCAGGGGAATTGACAAAGTGGAAATAGATGAAATGTTTACACGTAATAATAACAGAACGAGGAGACATGGGTGGAAGCTGGAAACTCAGATGAGTCACAGGGTTCTGGCTGGATTCTAAATTGGTTTCTTCGGTTCTTCTTCGTTTATTTGCTTTTTCGTTTCCTACAATTTGCCACGGTGGCTCATTGTGAGTAGGATTATCCTGTGATTCATTATTCCTTTCATTTTCAGTAATTTTCCTTGCTCTTGCTACGAGAGCACCGTGTCCTTCTGACATTAATAGTTTCAGAAGGAGTCAATTCCTGGGGGACATGCATGGTCGCGCTGCACTAAATGAGCTGCTGAGGAAGTGATGTGTGTGTGTGTCCTGTGGGGGTCTGCTGAGTCCTGCCACCCCCCCCCCATCTCCATCCTCTCTCCCAGTCTGTGTTGTCATGCAGTCTCTCTGTGTTGTCTGTCTGTCTGTGTTATCAGTCTCTCTGTGTTGTCTGTCTGTGTTATCAGTCTCTCTGTGTTGTCTGTCTGTCTGTCTGTCTGTCTGTCTGTCTGTCTGTCTGTCTGTCTGTCTGTCTGTCTGTCTGTCTGTCTGTCTGTCTGTCTGTCTGTCTGTCCGTCCGTCCGTCCGTCCGTCCGTCTGTCTGTCTGTCTGTCTGTCTGTCTGTCTGTCTGTCTGTCTGTCTGTCTGTGTTATCAGTCTCTCTGTGTTGTCTGTCTGTCTGTCTGTCTGTCTGTCTGTCTGTCTGTCTGTCTGTCTGTCTGTCTGTCTGTCTGTCTGTCTGTCAGTGTTGAGGTTGCACCTCATCACAACCCCACAACACATCGAACATTTGGTAGAACAATGTGCTGATAGCAACAATCATATGTATCACTTCTGCTGTAGTAATTGTATCACGCCTGAACTGGATTGTGCAGTAGTCACACCGAGTACAGTTTCCCTAATTATTTCGACTACTGCTTTTGTTCACAATGTCCTGGAGTTTTCATATAATATTTTCACATACAAACCGTAATATTCTGATTTAACACTTAAAATAATAAAAGCAACTAACACGTTGGAGTTTTAGACAACCGGCGCCATAAGTAATTCAATTTGTCGAGGACAGGAAGCCTGCGTATCCCCCTCCCCCCCCACCGCCCCCAAGGTCGAACTACTGACCCTCCCCAGGATACAACCCCCATAATAGTTGACTAATTCTAAGGTACTTAGTTACTGCTAGGTGACCAGAGGCATTAGGTGAACGGAAACGTGCCCAACTATGTTTGTCCCGCCCGGGATTCGAACCCGAGATTAGCGATTGTGAGTCGAGAAGGAACCCGACTGTAGTACCAAGATAAATGTGATGTTGACCTGTCAAGTGTGACAAATGACTTATGAATGATGACTGGCGGTGTCGATGTTGTTTCAGATTTAGCTACTCAGGACGAAGTGTCCATGTAGCACCGGCTATGGTAAGCCCGTAAAGGCGGTGTCGCTATCCATTGATGAAGATTAAGCCACCTATGAGGTGACACGGGCATGAATAGCCCGTAAGTGTCGTTATCCTGCCTCCTCTTAATTGATTGATTGATTGATGAAGATTAAGCGACTCAAGAGGTGGCACGGGCATGAATAGCCCGTAAGTGGTGGCCCTTTCGAGCCATTACCAGTATCAAAAGATGATACTGGAGATCTGTGGAGGCGCAACTGCACCCTGCGTGACGGGAGATGTCTCCCGGACCAAGTGGTGACCAAATGGTGTCCTCTTAATAAGGAGTGACTGGCTAACTAGACGTTAAGCTCTTTAAACGTCACCTCACCAAGTAATGGATTTACTCGTTGGAGTACAAGTGTCTCTCAAGTGCCTCTTGAGTGGGTCAACTCTTCAGGTCGAGCCTGGCCCCGGGCCGGGCTCGGGGAGTAGAAGAACTCGCGAAACCCTCTCCAGGTATGCTCCAGGTAAGTGGTCATGCTCCTATTACCAAGATAAAGTGTAGTTTTAGGAGCACATGTAAGTGTAAGTTACACGTGCTTGGTTTAGGGTTCCGCACCTCTCGCCTCACGTGTTATGTGCCTTTAAACTTATAGACCAACACAAAACACGCCATAGACGATTGTTTCAAGCGCGGGTTGGACAAGTATATGAGTGGGATTGGGTGGTTATAAATAGGAGCTGCCTCGTATGGGCCAATAGGCCTTCTGCAGTTACCTTTGTTCTTATGTTCTTATGTCGTGCTACTTGGAGCTTTTTGTCATGAGCAACTGAGCCTAAAACACGTGACACGCTTTAGTCCTCAACGCAGCTCAGGGATCAAGTAGACTCTTACTGAGACACTCTTCGCATGCAGCAGGACGGGGATCGAACCTGCGTCCTGGACAATCCCCAGAAGCGCTAAAACTTCACAGTTGTCACAACGTGACAAAAATAATGTGCTATATTGTCCGACCCTAACCTAACCGATGGACCAACGCATAGAAACCGTGGCTGCGAGCCGTCTTGATTATTCATTATCTTTATATTTTTTTCCGTTGGTTATTTGGACGTCAAAATGCAATGTATTATTAGAGAGGACAGGTTGAACATTTATATAAACTGGGAACAGATAGGGAATACCGGGTTTGAATCCCGGGTGGGACAGAAATGATTGGGTAGGTTTCCTTTCATCTAATGTACAAGGTATGTACCTGTTCACCTAGCAGTAAATATGTACCAGGGAGTTACTCAACTGTTGTGGGGTTGCATGCTGGGGAAGGTCAGTAGAAGACCTCGACATAAGAATAACGTTAACACACAGTCTGTCTGTTCCCGACAAAATTAGTTATTATGATATTACACACAAATTGGCTGTTCCTCAAAGTTCAAATGTAATCATTTTTAATAATGTTTATAAGAAACACCGAAAAAAAATAAAAAAGTATAATCAAACATGTTCATAAAAAATACTTCTTACTCCCATAGACCGATAAAAGTAATTAGTGAGGAAAATAGCTGGAGCGGGGCGGTGAAAGCCCAAGTGAAGACAGTGTTGTGGAGAAGGGCGGAGGGAGCCGTCAGTCACCCCCACGACCCACATACACCACCAGGGGCCAGTTTTTGTCGCCAGCCTCAGTGCGGTGTGTGTGTGT